CCCCGACACGGGTGAACCTGGAAAGTCGACGTACCTGGACAAGGGCGAACCTGGATAACAATTAACGAGCCTATTTATATGCTTCTGGAGAAGGCGGTATTGGAGAGGCACAGGTCCAGCATCTTTACCGAAAACATTCGTCGGCTACCGTCTCCATATCCTCTCAAAACCAAATATCATCTAGCGGAAGCCTGCTCTCGCAAACATCCTCATGCCTTTCTTGTTATTATACGCGTGATGACTTTTGGACAGTAATAACAAACAATGAGTTCAGATTGCAAAAATAGGTTTGCATAACAAGACTGTTTACAGCGATCGAAGTTGCTAAGGATGGGATCGAAATATTTACGTACTACGACATTTGCTAGACAACTTGAGAAACAGTGGATATGATCCTTAATACTGAAACATACAGTAGTAGAAAGATACAAATATATATAGAAAGAAATAAAAACTATTCTGGGAATAGTTGCTATAGACGGTTATATAGGCGGTTACGAACTAACTGGCGCCTAAGATTACTCGGTAGCGTTTCAACTACGTTTACCGCATTCTCTAGACCCGACCTTCTTAAGCAGTGTTTCATAGCTGCACTTACATCACTTGAGATGAAGGGTAGATAAACGGGACGCTCTCGAGGCGTTCTGGATTAATTCCAGAAATCCGAAAATGAACCGCAGGGAAGAGTGCCTCATTATCGTGCGTGATACTGGGCAGTATATAAGCTTGTTATTCTGATAGGATGGGCACATTACGCTTCCATATGAATTCTTTGCGGTTGGTCTCCACGCGACATACTCAGTGGGAACCTTATAGAAAGCGGTGAGTGTGCAAAGAAGCCATTCTATGTTCAATGCGATTGAAACCTTGGTTTAGCATTTTCTTTGTTTGGTTATGGAGGTGTTTGGCCGAATAGATTGCTGTCAACTTGACCTTTCCAGGCCCTGTGGAAGGCGAAATCCGCCGAAACGTCAGCTTATTCGTGAATAAAGATACTAGGAATATCCCGTGACACGCAATTAAGGGAAGGGATCCGACCTGCGAAATATCCGAAACGTACGATCAAAAATCAAAGATGCCGTTTTGTACGCCAAACAGTCGAAGATAAGGTGGGCGGGACACGTACTGCGTATGGATGACAACCGATGGACAATAGCCGTTAGTGACTGGATTCCTTGGGTTGTCAAGCGTAGCACAGGAAGACCACCGACTTGATGGCTAGACTTCATGAAAACCCTAGAAGAAACATATTATGGCTAGAGAGTCTCGAGCGAGCAAAACCTACTGGTCTGCTCTTGCAAGCGACAAAAATAGTGGAAAATTTACTGCACCCTACTCGAGCCAGTCGACGATCGGACGACAGGTGACACAGATGAATAACTAGCACGTTGCGTCATTTATGAGAATGTTAGAAATCGTCTATTAGATGTCTTTTTTCTTCGAAAATAAAACGCAAATATAAAACACTACCTAAATCAATGCATTATACATTAAGACAATGGAACGATATCCTATCATTTGTTTACTCTTCAGCTTTTAATATTCCAACGTGTGCAATCCTCCCAACGGTTTACCAGCTCATTGCAGTTGAGAGGTGTTCTTGAGTGTCCGACTGCGATGTACAGCGAGGACTCATCCCTCGGCAAGGACTCCCAAACTGAGGAGTCCGGCGTTTCCATCAAGAAGCCTAGCTAAGAATAAACCAATACCAGGATCCACCGCCGTTTTAGTATCAAAGTCGCATGGTGGCAAATCCCCCCTGATCCACAAGGGCTGCGACCGTCTGTCGTGGTGATGACCTGGGGCAGACCTTGGCCAGGCTGACCTCGGAATTCCAGGGAACCACAACGGCTTAACTAGCAAGTCTCCGATAAACGGAGATTATGCTGGGTCCCATACATCCAGTGAGGACGGGCCATTCAAGTATCAAGTACCAAGTAACGTGTACAGTAAAGGAGCGCGTAGCGCAATGCCACTGATCCCGTCCCAAACTCAGACGGCCCAACCTAATTAGGTGATGATCCAAACCTTCCGAGGCAACAAAGCTTCTCATTTCTCTTGGCTCGGGATATTGGTAGCATACTTCTCTGGGACGGCGTGACTCCGTCGAATCTACGTAGAATGCCTCAGCACTGCTATTTCAGGAATTGACTCGACCAGCACTCGACGAGATTCCTGACGAAGATGGGAAAATCCTCAAGGAGCAACCGAAGCCATGAAGTAGAAAAGTTCGAAGACCTTCATGGAGTGTGGATACGAAGAAATGAATCGAATGCAGGATTTGTTAGGACCCGCACAGTAGGTGTCAGACGGGCCGTTTAAAAGAAAATTGCGAGTGTCTTGTATGTAGCCACACAGAGCACACGACATCTGTCGACATTCGAATAAATCATTGTTTTATTATGATGCTCGTCGTTGTTGTTAGCTTAGTTTACGATGTACCTCTTGCACCTTACTGTTTTCCTTTCCATTAAGGAAGGCTCTGCAGATACCTTCTTTGATTTTTTCAGGATTGAGTGAAGCACATTTGACATATCTAGGAATGAGCAAAAAGTAAGGCCATCTTTTTCTTTTTATTCTTACATAGAGCTTTTATGCTTAAAATTGGTATTGAAAAGCCGGAGCGTTATAGAAGGGGTGGGAGGTGGGAGTGCTGGGAAGGAGGTATCCCTTATAACTTATCGGAAGGATTCCTAAAATTAGAATGGGCAAATTGAGGACATTCTTCGTATTTTTGTTGAGCAAACGCGAGGTGTTATTATAATAATAACACCTCGCGTTTGCTCAACAAAAATACGAAGAATTACTTGATCAATGCCGAGGTTAATAGAAAGTCGGTCGTGGGAAATTGAGGACATTTGGTAGTTCTAATATTTGACTTATATTCTGAATATTGGACATGGATGGGAAGATCTCTGAGTAATTATGGCAGATGGTTTGCTGTTCTGATATTTTGCTTTGTTACTTCTTGTTTTTCGGATATTGTTTTCAGTATCCGAACTCTGAGCAGTCTCCGAAAGGACGGTCACGATGGTGAAAGAGAGTCTGATGACGAAGGTGAACGACAAGGCTTCTTCGTCGGTGGCTCAGTACACAGGTGTGTTTTGCAAAAGTTTCATATGACGAATAATTTCTAGCAAATGAGAGGTTAGTGAGGAGCAAATGTGAAGTTAGTGATAAAAACTAGCTGAAAGAAAGGCGAAACGAAGGACACGCATGGTGTGGTGATGAACAAGTTAGCCCCAGAAAGGGTAATAGCGTGTTCCTTCACCACCGCAGACAACTGCGGTCTGGAGTTCTGCAAATATCTCAGCATTACTGTGGTTGTATTTCACCTAATTGAAAGCATGGTGCACATTTGGTAAGAATTTCTTGTGAGTCTGACTGCAAATGTCATGTAAACTTATGAAGAAAGTAAGAGGATAAAGCTCTTGGCGTTGATCAATCCCTGAGGGATTTGTCATGTACTCGATTTCGTTAGACATCGTTGGAGGTTATTGAATGCATATCTGGCCTTTACAATGGTCCGCTGTGGCCTACCGATGTATCGAGCCAGTGCTGCAATCTTCCCAGACAAATCTGGTAGCAATTTGCCGAACCTAGAGGTATGGAGGGTTTGGTGGCCCGAGACACAGGGACCGATCTCATGTGTATTGCAGGACGCCTCCGACCACTGCGCTACATGCGCCCTTTGTCAAATTAAACCACTTAAAATTACCACACTTTGGCTTTTTGCCTTTTTGATAGCGTAAATTCTATGCCAAAACATATGTCGAAGGTAGATGTTCATCTTTGAATTTTAACCGGGGAGTCCATAACCTGTGAAGTTCAAGAATCTTATTATTATTATCACATATTCGATGAAAGAGGAACAAAATCTTTGTCCATAAACTACTTGAAGACTACCCAATCTGAAACGAATTCCACTCATGTGATTTCGATTTCAGAAGATCTTGCAGTATAGTAGTAAAATAGAGCTGCGTCGCCTATAATCCAAGAACTTTGAATAGCTGAGAGCTAAAATATCTATATACCTCAGAGAGTAATCGTAGCTGTTTTATCATAAGGCAGAAGCTCGTCATTTATCGGGTGAACCAATCATCCAGATTTTCAGTGGCCAGCAAGTGCTTGGTCCCGAACGTCCTTCGAGTCGCAATAGTAATATAGCCGAGCAGGTTTTCAGTTCAGCTATACAACATGGTGCAGAAACGCTTAACACGCAAGACTTGTCTTCTCGTGTAAGTGTTCTTTTTTCAGTGTGTCCTTTCATATTTTTCTCTGCTGTAATCAATTCTCTTGCTATTGCTTTAGAGGACCTACTTTTAATTGAAAACGTGTTTTTAACAGCTTTTCAGTCATAGGAGTATGAACTCTTTCTTGATAGGTTACCACGTTTTCAGCCTCGTCATGGGCTTCCTGGAACGGGTAACCGAGTTCGTGTTAGTGAGGATCCCTCGGGCCCCTTAGGGTCTACGTTTCGAGCGAGCAATGGCGAAAATGACTCAAGTGATCTTGAAGAGGTCTTCTTATGATATCTCTTCTATTTTGTATCGTTCCATCTTCTGTTTTTACAGGTTGTTGTTTCATTATATATGTGGGATAATGGTTTCTCTATTGATGATGGCCCACTGCGTACCTTCGACGAGCCTGAAAATCGTCAGTTTCTCGAGAGCATAATGCAAGGGTTGGGATCATTGCGTTGTTTTTAAGGATCTTTATCATTGTCTTTTGCATTGCCATGGAGTACGAAGTACTTTCAAATAGAAGTAAATTTCTAACTTTTTCTACCATTTCAGTCGTGTGCCCGCTGAACTTGTGACAGCACATCCACGTCGACACATTGACTTGCGTATGCAGAGACGCTCTGGGCCATACGAACCCCCAAAACTGAAACCGTTCCAGGTATTGTTTATTATTCTGGTAGTTAAGAACGCAACCGCTCTGGTATGACATATGCGTTTCTTTGATGTTTTTGACTTAGTTAATTTATTGTTCACCTTTTAAGGGTGCTGGTGCTCGTCTTGGGACAGTTGTTCCGCAAGTTTTGGCATCTCCTTCGGTAGCTTCTTCTTCAAATTCTGCACAAGGTTGGGTTGTTGTTTTGTTATGGTCTTCAACGAACACAGTCGAACTAATGCTTGTTGGGCAGGTTTAGATTCCGTAGACAATTTGAAGAAAGCACAAGATGAAGTCAGCTTGGATGATAGTTTCCCAATTACACAGGTCTTTTTTGTGCTTTTTGCGCTTTCCTTCTATTTTTCTCATGGACCAGGTTGCGCATCGTTTTTTTTGGAAGTTTTGTGGCGTTTTGATCGTATAAAAGCAAGTAAACTTTTTATTAACAGCTCGAATGAGTTGGACTGGTCGCAAGTACTCAAGGTAAATACTATAGGTACAAATTCGCTTACCGAACGGCCAGCGCATAGCAGGAACCTTCAACCACTCCCACACTGTGGATGCTGTTAGAACGTTTGTTGCCACGTGAGTGCAGGTTCTTAGTTTTTTAAAAGCTTTCTTCTCAACGTTATAATTTATAATTGTAGCGCATTTCCGGATTTGGCTGCTTCACCCTTTCAGCTCATGACCACGTTCCCAAACAAGGTACTAAATTTTTCTGAATCGCTCCTCAGTCCTCCTTATATCAGCTCTAGTAAACTTTTGAGGAAGAGCCATTCTTTCAACTTTTTATTTGCTGCCTACTAAAATTTTTCACGTTGGGGTACTATGTGTGGTGTAACCACAATGATGCTGAGATATATGCAAAACTTCGGATCTCAGGTGTCTGCGGTGGGGATCGAACACGCTATTACTCTTTCTATAGGCTCAAGCGCTCACCACCTCACCATGCGGGCCCTTCGTTTCGCCTTTTTCTCAGCCAATTCTATCGTCTAACAGTGCCATTAGCGATCACCGATCAAAAAAATCACTTTTGCTTCCCTTTAAATTTTAAATGGTACTTTTGATACGACCTTTGTAATTGCAGTGCTAAACCTACCCTTGTGCGTTATTTCATATTGATTTCCGGCAGTTATAACAGGCTTGGTTACATAACCATCACTTATGAGGACTACTGCAATGGTGCTCTGCATTACCATATCTATTCGTTTTCTTTCCATATTACAGGTAATCGATGATGAAACCATCAGCCTCAAAGATGCCGGGCTTGTCAATGCTGTTGCTGTCGTTAAACTTTGCAACTAACTTTTGGCTACGTGCGGTTTTCACTCCGTATGTTCAGTTTTCATTTATTCACATTTACTTGGGTCTTTAAACATGACATTTCTTCATACTTTCAGCATTTGATGTTATCCCAGTTCACGGCTTGTAGAATATTGAAGGAACTCTTAAAATATATCTGCTCAGTAATTATTTCTTCGCCTATGCAGACAAGAGCTCCTACTGTTGTAGAAAGTTTCTGTTTCTAGTTTGTGGATAAAAATTGGGTCTTGCCTGTGTTCTTGTGCCATTTGACTGGTCTTTGACCTTCCGGTTACTTAGTTTATTTTCGTAAACATTTATTGTTATCTAATATAGCTCCTCACATTTCGTATCCTTTTTAAAGATGTCCATAAAAGAATGGCTTGGCATTGATAAGATACAAAAGCTTGCAAATATGGTGAAGCAGATGGGAGGTGTTAAAGCAGCACTGAAGAAGAGATATTTGTAAGCTACTTTTCAGCAGCAAGTCTTTCGGTGCAGGGTAGATGTCACGTAGTTTTGTTGTAATAAGGATATCTTCACAGCACAGCGAATTCTCTGTTTTGAGGTTTGATGAAATTTGACAAGTGGGAAGAGAATTCTAGTGCGTGTGTGTCCTTCGTAGCCAAAATACTTCTCAAACTGACTAGTTTCCAGGATGGATGTTACACGTGTTGGTACGCTTGTTGGGACTGATAAGTTCGGTAATCGCTATTATGAGGACAACTCTTTTTTTATGCCACGGAATCGGTGGGTGGAGTATCCCGACAAGGTCAGTTTGTTGATATGTAACGCTCTTTTATGTTCCCTATTGTGACGATCGGTTTCTAGATGTAAAAGGTATTAATTGGACAAAAACATTTCAGGTATGGCTTGACTATGATCCTTCACAAATTCCGCCTGAGTGGTGAGTGAATCAACTGTTGGCTGTTTTATTCTAATAGCACTAATTCACCTGTTCGATTCTATTTCTTTACTCTCATAAAGGATTGTTGGCGATATAAAGGACTCGTGCAGTTCGTACAATTAGAGGTTATAATGAACTTGGTTAGGTGTACTTGCCATTTGCAAAAAAGGCTTAGAGGCATCCATTTCACTTTCAGATTGCATTGCGCTGCTTCTGGTCATTTAATTACGTATTCCTTTAGCGAGCGCGTGTAGCGCAGTGGTCGGAGGAGCCCTGTAGTACACGTGAGTTCGATCCCCGCTCCCCAGGCTTACCAGGTCTACTATCCCTCCAGGATCGGAAAATTGGTATGAGACCTGTCTGGAAGGATTGCAGCACTGGCTCGATACATCAGTAGGCCACCAGGAGTCATTGTAAAGACTAGATGTTCATTCATTCACCTCCAACAGTGCTTAATGAAGTCGAAGGCATGGCGCATTCCATAGGGATTGATCAACGTCGAGAGATTTATCTTTTTTATCCTTTTATTTCCTCTGACTTCAATGTCTTGTCTGACTTATGACTTTGGTCCAGTCTTTGTTTTCTGATTTGCGAACTACAAATGCTTCACGTGAGTTGTAAACGTTCGGGACCATTTCAACATTATTGTATGCGATTTTAAAGCGCACTTTTGACAATGAATTGATGTACTAAATATCTATAATGCAAAGAATGGCTTAACAGTGTAAGCGTGGTTTTTACCGATACTTGAATACTTGGATGGCCCGCCTTCAGTGATTATGTGGGCACCAGGATAAATTCCATTGTTTCGGAGTTTCGCTAGTCTAGCCATTGTGGTTCTCTGGAGCTTCGAGGTCAGCCAGACCAATGTCTGCTCCAGGTCGTCACCACCACAGGCACTCGCCGTCCATGTGGATCGGAGGGAGATTTGCCACCTTACGACTAGTTTGATACCAGCACGGCGGTGGATGCTGGTATTGTTTTACTATTAGCTAGGTTTCCTGATAGGAACACCAGACTCATCGGCTTGGGCGATCTTGCTTTAGGAATGAATTCTCCGCTGTACATCGCAGCCCGACACACAGGAACACCTCGCAGTCACGATGAGGTAATAAACTGTTGCGAGATTTACTGAGGTATACATTAGAATTCTAGAATCGTAGAAAAAACATAGCATCATTCCAAATATCATCATTTTAATCGCCGATTTTCGAACAGGATTACAATAGTGTTACATTTGAATGAAGTGATAATCAGAACATTCATGAGACTATCTTATGTTATTCGTAACTTTTCTTTTTATTTTACACAACCCGTTTTTCACATCTACTATCTGGATCTGAGCACTTCTAGCATTCCATTCGTTTCCTCGCATTCATTGTCCGCAAAGCTTTTCGAACATTACGTGTGTTGTTTCGTTTCGGCTGCTGCTTGTGGGTTTCGCCTTCATCTTGAATGTCGTAGAATGCAGATCGACTCTTTGGAGTCCTCACATTGCTGGTCTAGAATGTTCCCACTTATATTGTACACAGTGAACCTTTCCTGGATAAATCTGGCATCAATTTCCCGACCTCCGAGGGATGAGAGGCTTGATGGACCCGACGTGAGATTGAACCAGCACCGTCCTCGTGATGATCGGCATAACCACCAATGCTCTACATGCCTCTGTTTACGAGTGGTAGGTCAGGCAATTTAGGAATTGTATATAAATCCATAAGGGGCGCGTGTAATGCAGTAGTTAAAGATGGCCCGCAATACGCACGTAGTGTTTGTCCAATCCCCGCTTGAAGTCCTCGAAGTTTTCCAAGCCTGCAATTTCTCCATGGACGGAAAATTTGTACCAGACTTACCTGGGTGGATAGCATCAATCAGCTAGACATCAGTAGACCACTGCAATTTTTTGTATAGGCCAGATATGTATTGGAATACTCCTAACGATGCCTGGTGAAGTCGAATGCATGCATCGCGCATCCACCAGGGATTGATCAGCGACCAGAGATTTGTCCTTTCTTTTTCTTTTATATAAATGAATGCTACTGAGGTATGTGAAAAATGTGTTTCATCACTAAGAAGGCGTGTTTCCACTGGTGTCCTTGAGATTTTTGAGATGCGTTTTCTTTCAGGCATCGATGGCTTCACCATATATGCGATGATCCACCTTCTGTTAAGCCACTCCATAGTGAAAAATGGGTGCTACAACATGAAGAGAATCTTTCGATTTTTGAGTAAGTTACGTAGTTGAGTAGGAGTTGCTAGTCCAATTGAGCAAGATAACTTATCTTTTAATTTATTCACATTTTAATCAATTCGATTCAAAGAATTTCTCAGCCAACCACGTTTTCTCGGTTGTTTATAAGGCGCTTAGGAATGCTCTAGTATAACTCAATTCATTCTTCTTACCTAAAAATCAACGTTGACATGTGAGCTTCCTAGTCCATGTTTTATTTAGAGATAAGAAATACATCCCCTACTCGACAACTCGTACAAAGATTCAAGGTTGGCAGCCAGGACAAAAGAAACAGGACTAGGTTTTTTGTAAATGATTTGTATAGTTAGATGGCAAATGTGTGGAGGTGAATAAAACATTATTTATAGCTCTTTTTTCCAGTAGTTAAGGTACTTCTTAAGAACACAGCGAGTTTCCCAGGTATGTTACAGTCATTATGAGTGAGCTTTAATGGTGCTTCATCCCATGGTTACTAAGCACTACGTAAATTTGTATAACACGGACTCCGCCGTGGAGATGGACGAACAGCCATGGTTGGCTCTCAGCTGGGATGAGTTGGAGAAATTGGTGATGGGGATGTTATCAGCATTAGTGTTTAGGACATGATGACCGACCTTATAATGGACAAACACGATTCTGCGTTAGACCGTACGGTACTTTGACCATAAAAGGATAACGAATGGAGCTCTCACCTTGAATCAATCCATGTGGGACTCACCACGCAATCAAAGGATTACTAGTCTCTTGAGTTCACCACGGATCCGACTAGCGACGTGCTGTGTATTGCGGGACACATCTGTCCACTGCGCTATGCGTACCCCAAGGCATGTTGAACCTAGAAGCGACAAGGTAGAAAATATGAAAACTGTGTTTAGAGATATTGATATGGTATTGAGATAAGTAAAATTATAAAGCGTTCGGCGATGATCTGTCAATGAAGGATGCACCATGCACTAGATTTCATTTGCAGCACGATAGAGGTGATCAAATACTTGCTGCACGTATAGAGTAACCTTCTAGGGCCTACCGATATATCACGTCAGCGCTTCCGTCCTACCGTGCTAGTTTGGCAACAATTAATCGACACGGGACGAATGGAAGGCTTGGTTTGCCATTCAGCGAGCGGGATGGAATCAACGATTATGTGTGTGTTGCGGAGCACTCATGGGTAGTGCGCCACATTTACGTCGGGCAATCACCTGTAGTCCTGTTGATCGTCGAGTGACTCGGGCGGGTGCCAGTAAATCTTCCATTTTTCCCTGTTGCGTGCAAGAGTAGCCCAGTGGGTTCTGCTCGCTCTAGAGACTCGTCGAGCATCATATCTTTCTTCAAGACTCTTTGTGAAGAACTTTGACCATCGGGTCAGTGGTCTTCCTGCAGTACGTTTGACATCCCAGGGAATCCAGTCACTAACGGCTCTTGTCCATCGGTTGTCGTTCATACGCATTACGTGTCCGACCCACCTTATCTTCTACTGTTTGGTCTACAAAACGGCATCTTTGATTTTTGATCGTTGACGCAGGTCGGAGCTTCGGATCCCATCCCTTGTGTGGAACGAGATACTCCTAGCATCTCTTAATAACTCAAAGGACCGACTTTCTATAAACCTTGACATAGATAGCTATGTTACGAGTGGGACTGATAACATCACGGCTCTGAGGAAGACGAAATCGCCGGAACATCAGCCATCGACCAATAACACCAAGAACAACGACAACGAAGACCTGCACCAACCTCGCATCAGCTAAAGCAGATCAGTTCATAAGATCATATAAATAAATAAATCAACTCCTAGCATCGTCCTTTCGACTGCGCGTTCGATAACGCTCAGTGACCTTTCACCCTGCTTACGCAGCGACCAGGCTTCTGACGCATACGTTAGGGCAGGAAGTACCGTTGGGTTGAAAAGGTGGGCGCGGAGTCAGGTGTTCTTTGTCCTCTTCACTACATCCTCGATGCTCTTGAAAGCTCCCCAAGTCGCTCGATTCCTTCCGCTCAGCTCTGGAGCTAGGTCGTTCATCATATTGATTTCCCGACCTAGATAGATATAAGTGGAGCATTTGGAGATATTCGTTCCGCTGAGCGAGCATGCGAAACCAATCCGTTCTTCATGAACATCTTTTTTGTGATATTTGGTCGAAAACCAATCTTTCCACGGGTTTTGTCAAACTCGGCGAGCATTTCTTCCGCTTGGCTAATGTTTGGTGTTATAAGGACGATGTCATCAGCAAAACCAAGATGATGTAACTACCGACCATCGATTATCACTCCCATATTATCCCATTACAATGTTCGCATGACGTTCTGGAGGGTGGCGGCAAATAATTTGGGCCAGATGGTATCGTCTTGCCTAACCCCTCTTTTGACGTCAATGTATCGTTATAGAATGGTGATGTCTTGGTTATGAAATTCTTGTACAGCTCACGATGAATCTTTGTGTACTGAGTAGGGATTCCTTGACTATTAAGGGCTTCTATGACTGCTTCTATCTCAATTGAGTCAAAGGCCCTCTCTAAATCGATGAAAGTGAGACAGAGCGGTCTTTTGTACTCTAGCGATACGTCAAAGAGTCTTGTTATCGTGTGGATGTGGCCCATCGTACTAAATCGTTCCCGAAACCCTGCTTGCTCATATAGCTGTCCTTCGTCCAGTGTTCTGTCAATCCTGTTTAGGATGACTCGAGTGAAAAGTTTGTAGACGACGGACACCAAGCAGATTGGGCGTTAGTTTTCCTTTCAGCGAGAAATAGAATCTTACACGAAGGAGGCGATGGGTTGATCCCGTGTAAATTTTTGGACAACAGCGACATCGGTTAGGCAAAACTTTCGGTTTACCATGTTGTGGTCTATTTCGTTATGGTACTCTCCTATGGGAAACTCCCACGTCCAGTGTTCAGAGTGGCGTTTCTGGAATTGCGAGTTATCATGGATGGTGTTGGTCGCCATTGTAAACCCAGGCAGCCGCTCACCCTGTTCGTTCCATTCTAATCTATGGGTCCTAATTTGACGTTCTTCAGACGTTCTTCTTGGTCCAACCTTGGCATTGAAATCTCCAATGATACCTTGAAGAATGTATGGTCTTCTCTATTGAACTTCTCCAAGTCTATATAGAACGCTTCGACTTCTTCGTCATAATTTGATGTCCACGCGTAGACGACGAAGATTGTAAAAGCCGGTATTGATCCACATCTTTTTAATCGCAAACGTCCGATTCGGGATGTAAGCTGTTCGAATGAATTGATGTTCATGGATAAACTTGTGTTGACGAGAACGCCGACGCCGCGGACTCCTCTACTGTCGCATGTTCCGAGGAATAGTTCTTCTCCAGTGTCATAGACGGCGTTGAAAGGCTGGCGTCGTCTCGTGTCGGGCAGGCCGATGACGTCGTACCTTGTCCTTCTTGCTTGCATGAGCAAGTCTTCTATCGAGTACTCAGATGCAAGTGTACGTGCATTGTAGGTACAGATTGTCACCATAGTTCTTTGTAATCCAGGCAGCTTCCATTGGACCTGAGATTTTGGTAGCCTCGCCATACTCGTCCTACCCAATGCTGCCGAATGGGGAGCCCTTTCGTGGTCAGAGGAATGAGGTCCGTTTCTCTTATTTTTTTTAGCTTTTTGATACTCACATGTAGCTTGCTGGGCTCCGAACGTGGGGGCTGGGTATGCTCAGGGGTAGCTTGCCAGGCTCTCCCGGAGTGGACATGGAGCTTATTTGTTGGAGGCGACTCCTAACCGCCTCTCATATACATCCCAGTCACTTGATTGTAGGCTTTTGGCCGAATTGACTCGTAGAATACAATTCGCGTAAACGAGAACACACCCATGCAAGGATACGTCTTCGTAAATACAGAAAGTATGTGCCAAATCGACGCAGTAGAAACAGGGAGTCCATCTCCTGCAACCACTTACGTCTCAGGGAAGCAAAGGCCGCTTTTGGTCTGCTATTAACCCCTTATCCGCCACCTGTGGACGCGGCACGTATCCTCACAACTAACCGGCTCGAGATTCTTCATATGAGGGAGTCTGTAGCTTCTTCGGGCAATCGTGCACCAAAAATCTGTAGCAGGTACCAACGACATGGTGCGAAATCAATGTAACCATCTACATATCCATAGTCTGAGCTGTAAGGTATTGTTGGATTCACAAACAGGCATGATCCTCAGAAAAATGTCCCTATACCGTAGTTTATCGTGTTCCTTTGTTCCTTTCCCTTTTGCGCTTGGCTAGATATGGTTTTTCTATCAAAAGTAGGAATTAAAATACAAGGGAAAGAAGGTGAAGAAAAATGGAAGACAAATACACCTAGAGAAGGAATTTTTATTCACTTTAAATAGCACTTAAATGTATTCATCGTCAAATGTATCGCCAACGGAATTTCATATGAATAAAAAAAGGATAAAACCCTCGGCGTTGATCAATCCCTGCGGGATGCACCATGCATTCGACTTCATCAAGCATCGTTCGGAGGTGACTGAATGCATACCCTGCCTTCACAATGACCGGCGGCGGCCTACCGATGTATCGACCCAGTGCTCTTGTCCTCTCAGAATGATACCAATTTGCTGACTCCGGAGGGATGGAGGGGTGGTGAAGGCTAGGTGGGCCACGGGCGTGGCGACCGATCCCATGCGTATTGCAGGGCGCCTCCGACCACTGTTCCGATAAAAACTAACATCTTTGGTTTGTAGCACTGTGCTATAAACAGCAATTAAAAAATTGTCCATAGTTTTTCAGGAAAATCTACACCCACCTGAAAAGTAAGGTCTAGGTCTTCTAACGCCCAGCCAACTTTGATCCTTAGTTCATTGCAAACTAAAAAACAAACGTTTAAAGGTCGCAATTCCATTAGAGTGTGATTTTTCGAATTTCGAATGTGCACTTGGAATCTCCAAAACTCGGATTTCAGTATGGGGAATACAGTATCTAAAATATAAAACACGTTGCCTACCGTAATGCGTCCCGTGCAGACGGTGCTCATAAACGATGAAATAAGGAATGGATAGTATAGTTTAATTATAAATGGTGAAGAATAGAGCTCTTAGGGTTGATCAATCTCTGAAGAATGAGCCATATAATCGAATACACTTCTGGCCTATGCAATGACTAGCAGTGGTCTACCGATGTACCAAGTGGTGCTACTCTCTATCCAAATGAGTCTGGTACAGATTTCCCGACATGATAGTGAAAGGTTTAGTAAACCTGGGCGCGGGATCGAACAAAGGCCATATGTGTATTACGGCACATCTGTAACTACGCTGCACGTACCCCAGTTCAATAAACAATTTGTTATCGTAGTACAGGTATTTCACGCGAATGCTAATGTATCACTTCAGTTTAGCAATGTTAATTTCTTAAGCCAGCCTCTATGAAACGAGAAAATGCAGAATTATAAGTGTTTTAGCTTAAGGCAGACACCAATGTGGATGGCCCGGATGATGATATCTAATCAACTTGGCCAATGCTTGAATAACTTGCTAGCTAACTACAATGAGAGCCCAGCGATTAAATCGATAGGTACAAAAGTAGTGGCGAATTTTGTCATTACTCAGTTTTCAACCGTGGTTGGTTATGCAATCGATCAGGAAGCAAGGTGCTGGTTCGACTGCCCTCTCCAACGCTCTCCACCATTCCACGAAGTAACCCCTTAGTCATCTTTCTCTTAGATTACAACAAGAATGGACTTCACCGACATTCTACGACATTAATGAAGAAGAAGAAACAAGACGAAGCAGAATCCAAAACAGTATGCGGAATATAACTTCTATAATGCTGAGATATTTGCAAAACTCCGGACCGCAGATGTCTGAAGCGAGGATCGAACCTCGCTATTACCCTTAACGGGGACCAAAGTGTTCACCAAAACACCATGCGTGATCCTCGTTTCGCCTTTCTCTCAGCAGTATTCTATTGGCGCTATCCCTTTACATTGTTGTACTCCAAAAGTTCGTCGATGATACCTTCCATTCAACATAAGCATAGATTGGGCACGAAGGATACGGTAACGTCGGGTGTAATTTTTATTATACAATAGTAAAAAGTGCGTGCGTTCCAACCAACGTCACCTCTCAACCTTTTTAAGCTTCATTACTGTACTGTCGATAAGACAAACTTCATTAAACCCATTTATACTTTCACATTTTTATCCTCTCAAAAAGAATTTCCATGGTCTACGTTTATTTAAATTAGGCCGTAGTTACTAAATTATGCTAAAACTAAAGAGGGAAACTTTTTTACATCGTCATATCACTAGATCGAAAGAACACTCGTGTAGCGAAGTGGTTAGAAATGCCCTGTAGCACACACGCTCGTTGGTCCTCCCATGCACCTGTGCTATCCAAGGCCCTATTTCTGAGGAAATTGGGAAAACTAGTGTCAGACTTTCCTCTTCTTGATCGTCATCTGTTGACTCGTGCTGTTACCAGCATGATCTTCATCTGTCCTTATCGCTTACAATAGTAGACCATGTGAGTTCTGGTCGCTCTAGACACTCGAAGATGTTGGCATAGTTCTTCTAGCACATTCAGAAATATTCTTGCCTACATTCTTAATGTGCTTACAAAAATCTTCAAAAATCTCAAAAACTGGCACTGATGAGAAGTTATCCACTATCAATGGAATAGACTTGGATTGATGATGACAAACCGCTTGGTTACGAGAACCGAGAATCATCGAAACCTAATGCTAAGCACAGACGTAAGCATTACGCTCAGGTATGCATTGAAATAACCCCCATGTTCTCCTTCTCTCAACATATTTCACTTTCGCGCTCTTTTGTCAAAGAAAAAAGAAGTGTTGTCCAACTACGAAAGGACTCTTAAGGACCACAGTGACGATATCGATCGAAATCCAATTACGTTTAACTATCGACACTGGACTGATTGTGAAAGTATTTGATGAACAACAGTCTCTACGGTCAAGAAATCCGTCTAATGCCAGAATCGTCAGAATTTCATGTTTTCGAAAGAAAACTGCTGTTTTCCTCCAAAAGTCAACATTTGAAGGTTCCTCCTTTCAAGTTAGAGCTATATTTTTGCATCACACAAAGAAGTGGACTAGGCTTCAAAAGTATTTCTAAGAACATCCTTTATAATTATAATTATTAAAAGTATCCAACCTAATGATATTTTCGTGTCGCAGCATTTTGCACTATTTTAGCCTATGTTCTCGCAACGGTTTATTGGCTCATTGTGGCTGGGAAGTGATCCTGGGTATCAAGCTGCCATGTACAGCGGAGGTCCTCATCCCCATAACAACATAAACATAAACATAAACCGTACTCGTTCCTTTCTTAGTTCAAAATCATCCACCCACGGTGATGGTCTGTCTCATGAATAAAGAGATTTCAGAAGCAAGAAATTGCCAAAAAAATTATGACATACAGAACATAAATAATAGCTTGACAACTTTACTCAGCATAAATCGTAAAGAACTTATTCACATGGAAATTCAAAACCAAGAATGTCTTCAGCATCAGTCAAAGAGCTCCACAAATCGAATAAAGAGGATAGTCAAACTAGAGGAAACCTATGGCATTAATGACCACAAAAACTAGAAAAGACGATCTCGAAAATTGGATGAAATCATTCAACATAGAGTTGAGTAAAATTTAATATTCAGAAGGAAAAAAACGAGCCCAAAGTCAGATCTGAGAAAAGATGAGGAATTGAAGAAGATGAACAAAGATGAAAAAACAACAGTATAAAAAGACCACAGTAATTCAACGAATGATTGAAAAGGCTATCGGCACCTATTCAAGTACCACACCCAATTCATAATCATCACCAAAAATGTCGTCAGTTATCGAATCTGATAATGATGAACAACGAGCAAACTCCATGCGATTGAATGCAATCAACGGAGGAGTGCCAAGAAGACTCTCCTTGAATACCTACATACAGAACATTAAACATTAACAAAAGTCACAACACCCATCAAACATTCCATAAAGGATAGAACTCTTGGTGTCGATCAATCCATGAGCAATGCGTCATGCATTCGACTTCACTAAGCATCGTTGAAAATCAATGAATGCATATCTGACCTTTAAAAAATGACTTGTAGTGGTCTACTGATGCATCAGGCCAGCACTGCTATCCTTCCAGACAAGTTTGGTACCAATTTACCGACCCCGGAGGGATGGAAGGCTTGGTGGGCCTGGGGTGTCCATCCCTTGCGTATTGCGGAGCGTCTATGACCACTGGGCTACAAGCTTCCTTCCATAATATTCCATAGGCAGACAACAAGTTCATAATATAGGAAGTAAATAACAGAGACGTTAGAATGAGTAGTACAATGAAGACTACCGAACGAGAACTTACATCAATGCCGGATCTCCTACGCATCTTAGTGTGTTCCAAATCTTTCAAATAGTTGCAGTATTTTTGTATAATCATTACGACGTAAATCACAAAGACCCAAAAGCATAAAAAGCAAAAACCTGAGAAAGCCGTGAAGTCTGAAAATTACACGTGCCATTCATGAATGGATTTCCATTCAAATGCGACGAAACTTGCAAATATAATCTTATTTGTAATACAACCACGATGATGCTGAGGTATTTGCAAACTCCGGACTGCAGGTGTCTGCGGTGGGGAACGAACGCGCTATTGTCCTTTCCGGAGAGTAACGCGTTCACCACCACACCATACGGGTCCTTCGTTTCGCCTGTCTCTCACCTAGTTCTATCGATATTTTGCCATCAGCAATCACTAGTCAACGGGATTGGTCTAGGGAGCGCAAATTGGCAACGAACTCAGTGAAGCTGAGGCTGTATCACACGTAATACCCTGCTATGAAGAATTGTAATGGGCAGTAAATAAAAGTTAACATTATAGTCTTATTGTTAACCTTTCTATTTACTGCTTACTACAACGAGTGAAACTGTAGCAATTTTCGAAAAAATTTTAACAGATAGCAGATAAGAAGGTTACCACAACGATGCTGAGATATTCGCAAAGCTTGGACTCCGAGCGAGGTCGAACCACGATTACCCCTTTCCGGACGCTCCAGTATTACACACAGCACCACTGAGGCCCTTGCTTTGCGCTTCTCTCAGCTTGTTTTCTACCTGACGCTGCCGTCAGCAATCACCCGTCAACGGGAGCGATCTGGGGAGCACAAATCGGCATTGAACCCAGTTAAACTGGTCTGGAGGCCTCAGGCTAGAAAATTTACCATTTTAACTTCGGCTAAAGCTTCAGCTTAACTGCGTTCAGTACCGATTTGTGCTCTCCAGATTAATCTCGTTGACGAGTGATTGTTGATGGCACTGGTAGATAGAAAATTCACCTAGAGATAGGCCAAACGAAGGATGCGTACTGTGTGGTGGTAAACGCGTTAGCCCACTGGAAGGGTTACAGTGTGTTCGATCTCCACCACAGACAACTGTGGTCCGGAGTTTTGCAAATATCTCAGCATCATTGTGGTTATAGTCTTATTTTCTCAACAAAAGTAAACTTAAGCGTCAAAAAACAATCATCGAATTTAATAAAAAAATTGGACAACTCACTATACTTGAAGTGTGAACCGATATCGAATATCCAGAAAGTGATCATGACACTGCCGGCTGCTCCAGCAAGCGTTATCTACAACAGGATAAGAGGGTTATTGGTAACCACAAGTAAAAGATCAACCCAAAAGCTGACTACACACAGGTGGAACTATCAATAAAGTGGTGAGCACTGGTGAATTCCACATCCAGCCAATTGTTCCTACCAACAAGACAGTTCCAAGTAGAAGAAGAATAACGAAAAGTGAAGAACACTCAACGGAACTCAAACAAATATCGATCGGCTGAAAACAGAAGTAGATTTCCTAGGAATGAACAAATACTTGATTCGACATTAAGAACAAAACTATCAAACTATTGAAGATACGAACCCATAATGTAAAAGAAAGCGCCAACTCCACTAAAGTTGTGATCCAAACAAACCAAAACGAAAGTAAAAGGCATGCAGTCGCTACCTAAAATCGGTTGGACTTAACTGAATGTGAAGACCAGATGGTGTGTCATGAATTTAATAAAAAGTATTTTAAATGTAAATGTCCCAAAAGATCTTGGTGTTCAATGCAAACGCATTAAAGGACCGAAGATCATCATTGATGGGACCACCGAGGTTTCCAAGAAAGATGTATGATAGCGTTGATAGTATCATAACGTTGTCGGACAACAGAAAAGCGTCTAAGTGATCGTAACGTACAAGTAATTACTTCATTAGAGAAATCTGTAAAGGAGATACTTAACCTTTGTGCTCTAAAAAGGATAAAGCTTTCGGCGTTGAACTATCCCTGAGGGATGCGCCATGCCTTCGAGCTCATTAAGCATCGTTGGAGCCGACTGAACACACTGCTATCTTCTCGGACAGGTCAGGTACTAATTTGCCGATCGCGGAGGGATGGAGTGGAGGACTTGGTGCGCCAAGGACGCGAGGGTAGATCCAATGTGTCTGTTTTGCAGGGCGCTTCCGACAACTGCCCTACACGCGCCCTATGCTTAACCTTACAAGCATTAAAGTATAGATAATCACTATTGATAGTACTACCGAACTTCGAGGAAAGATGTATAATAATGTAGATAGGATCACCACGTTATCAGACAAGAAAAAAGATCTCAGTGATCGTAAACTAGAAGAAACTTCTTCATCAGAAGAGTTTGTAAAGAAGATACTTAGCCTTACCCGAAGAGTATATGTAGTACTTAGAAGGTCCTCATTGTCATCCCTTGTAGGACTCGCTTTAGATCCCTGCTTATCTCGACAAAAGAACAACATTGAACGTCCTGGAAGACATCAATTAGGAGTACAACATCGAATTACAATAAAAATCCAGAGATCCACGCAAAATTTTGGAAGGAAGAATCCCAGCAACCATGACTTTAGCAAACAATTTAAACGCGTTCAATTCGAAAGCCGTCTTTACCTAATGTTGGCGGATAATCAACAAAGAGTTTTCCTATTAGGACCTAACGATATGTGCTACGAACCTTTATGTTTACAGAGGATCTATCTCCAGCGATCAATCAGTAGGTCAAAAGAATGTGATATGGTCGTTAGGGTTCCGTTCATGTGGGTTCTTAGGACATAGTTTTAAGTTAATATTCGTTAAATTCCTATACTGTTGTCTAGACATTAATTGATTTAAGAGGATCCTACGAATACTTACTCTTCATTTTCGTTACGCACTTGTTTGAATGGGCGCGCGTAGCGCAGTGGTCGGAAGCGCCCTGCAATGCACATGAATCCATCGCCGCTCCCCAGGTCCACCAAGCCCTCCATCTCTTCGGGGTCGGCAATTTGGTACCCGACTTGTCTGGTAGGATAGCAGCACTGGATGGATACACTGGTAGGCGACCACGAGTCATTCTAAATGCCAAACATGCATTCATTCACCTCTGACGATGCTTAGTGAAGTCGACTTCTTGGCGTACCCCTTTGGGATTGATCAACGCCGAAAGCTTCATCCTTTTTTATCCTTACTTATTTGGAGGCTCTTAAGTTAAATTCCCAAATGTGTGAGGACAACGTATAACTTTTATCTACTGTCGCTTATTTGTTTCACGGTAGGGTATTATGTGATATGTAATCACAATGATGCTGAGATATTTGCAAAACTTGGCCCGCAGGCCAGATTCGAAACCCGCGATTACCCTTTATCTGCTAGCTCACGTGTTACCCACTGTACCACTGAGGCCATCATTCTGGCTTACTCTCGGCCACATTTTTTTTTCACCTCCTAGCGGTGCCATCAGCAATCATCCGTCGTATCTTAACACTAGAAATCTTAACATTATTGTTACCCAAATGAAGACGGAACAGTGGCTTTTCAAACCTGTGTCTTGTAATAGTGCTTCGAACCTCAGAGGAGCTTTCGGTCCTGCTGAGTCGTCTATGATTCTATTTTTCTTCCTTCCAACAGCTCACTGCCCCGTAGTGATTGAGAAGTGTTCATGGATGTCGTTTGGCTGCGATGTACGGCGGCGGGTTCATTCCCTGCAGTGCCTTCCAACCTGAGGAGTCCGGCTTTTCCATCCGAAGGCCGAGACGGGCCTAAACCAATACGAAAGCTAGGAATCACCACCGTTGTGGTATCAAACTAATAACATGGCGGCAAATCTCCTTTTGATACACAGGGGCGTCGACTGCTTGAGGTGTTGACGACCTGGGGAAGCTTACGACTACGCTGGCCTCGAGACTCCAGAGATTTCCACCAGTTCTTGATCCATGGCGTGTGTGGCGCAACAGTCGGAGTCGCCCTGCAATACAAGTGGGATCGATCCACGCGTCCCAGGCCCACCAAGCCCTCCATCCCTCCGGGGTTGCCAAATTGGTACCAGACTTGTCTAGGAGGATAGCAGCACTTGCTCTATACATCGGTAGGCCACCGCGAGTCATTGTAAAGGCCAGATATGCATTCAATCACCTCCAACGATGCTTAGTGAGGTCGAATGCATGGCGCATCCCTCAGGCATTGATCAACGCTGACAGCTTTATCTTTTCCGTCCTTTAGTTCTTAATCTGTCTGTGCGACTTTATCACTACGGAATTTAAACACGGTAACAAGCTTCTTGTATCCTTGTCAGTACTGTTCATCAGTACTCCTGTTGCATTTTCTAAATTCAGCCAAGCATCCACTGTTGTTCGTTTTGTATTTTCGTAGAATTTATGAATTTTAAGACATTCAAAAGAGTCTTTTATATAGCAAGTAAAAAACTAAAATTCCAATAATAACTATCGAAATTACAAAAGTAGATGACGATTTCTCTTCTTCTAATTCATCTTCGTTTGTTTTCCATCTGAAATTAAACGAAAGATGTTTTGAAATTCTCTCCCATTGAAAAGTTCTAGTACAGCACTTAGAGATGCCCCGCAATATACACGAGGTCATCGATTCGATCCTGCTCCCTGTGCAAATCGAGCAAATCTATTCATACGATTCGCCTAATTACCTACCTAAGTTGTAGACATGCCTGTGAGCAGAAAACCACTGAGTTGATATCTCGGTAAACCGCCATGATTGCATGGGCCAAAAATGCATTCAGTCATCGCTACGATACTATGTATGGAGTCAGACGCATGTCCAGCTACAAAGGATTGATAGCCTCATGTTCTAGTACCTCACCCTTTATCCTTTACCGAAATGCCTAGGTGTTGTTAGTCTTCCGTTACCCAGTTGATAAAAAAAAAACGAGCAACTCACTTGAGTTTATGATCACGAATACGTGTCTGAGCTGGTCGAGGATTATTAACTTTTTCAAAGCTTTCCTCTTCTTCTTTTACAGCCTCCTAAAATATTCTTTTGAGACCTTATAGCGACGTAACATTTAAGAATCCGAGAACACTTCCACGATCGTACCCGAGCATCCGCAACTTTGTCGTTGACGCCTAAAAAATCCAAGGCAAACTAAAAAAGAGGTAATCAAACAAAGCAAATGTGAAGAAAATTACTACTCACCATATTTCTGACCTGAATTACGGTTTACTCCTGGTCGAATTTCTCCAACTTTACCCTTATGACGGTTCTGGATACAGGAAAAAAGCTAGCGGTTGTTGAAACTTTTCAGCTACGATTTTCATTTCAGCAAACTCATTTCACGGACTTATCACCAGTGATCGATTCGTACAGAAAGCATAGAGCCTTCTATAGTTCCGTATGTCATAGAATTTTAGCGGTTCTAGCGTAGTGGTTAGAGATTTCCTGCAATACAACGTCGTTTTTGGTTCGATCACGTGCTCTGGGTATACCAAACCATACATCTCTCCAAGGTTGGAAATAAATACCAGACAGGTTGGGGAGGATAATGAAGCCTTGAACATTGTTAGAGATAAACGAATGAACGTCTGGGGCATACAATGTGACTTGCGGTGCTCCGCCTCTCACGTCAGCACCTTCAAATTAGTACTCGTATTCAATCAGACGAGTCTTGTACCAATTTTCCGACCTCGGTGAGATGGAGGGCTTGATGAGGCCGGGGTGCGGGATTGAACCAAAGACCAAGTGTGTATTGCAGGGTATTTCTAACCACTGCGCTGCACGCGATGAGACCTATAGTAGCCAGTATCTTTAAAAAGCAATCAGAATCTTTCTTAATCTTACTTTTAGCATGTTCATTGATGATTTAGGATGCCGTCCTTCTCTTCTAAATCGAATAACTTAGAAGAACACAATAAAAATGTGGTTTGACACGAAAAGAAAATGAGCTACACACAGGTATAGATCCGAGTTGATTGTTGTAGTACACCTTCTCTTGACAACTGTATGGTAATAAATAAAATCTAAGCTAATTAGTACAGAAAGGTGGTCGATTGAAATCAAGCTTTTCATATCAGCTTGATAATGAAACATCGCCTATCGAGCATTAGATGAAAACCGGTTTTCAAAAATTTGTACTTTTCATCATTATCTATTAAAAATCTGACACTTATTAACCTCATACTTGTATGGAGAAAACGATATTGCTTGTAGTGGTCCCTTTTGTGCGCGACAGCACTATCTGGTTGCCTTCCTGCATCCAGTTCGGTTTCATAGATGGTTTAAGCTGCTGACTGAGGATCTGGCTTTTCTCCTTGTTGACACGTAGAGTGGCAATCGATCATGGTGTTCTATAGAAACTCGAGATGGTCCTAATATAGGCGCTTCCGGGTCATCACTAGAGGCAGCTTCATATGCTCTTTTGTAGTGGAAGCTATTCTGTCTTTCTGTTAGGATTCTTCCTGAACTGCCCGGGTTTCTGCAACTAGTCGAGCGATAGGTAGAACTATCGACTGGACTCAATCTTGGTTTAGTAAGTTTCTTGCTGAAGTCCCTTGCGCTATTGTGCCATAGCAGTAAACTTGTACTGTGCTACTTGGTAAGTATAGATTTCAACTCACATTATTTCTATTATCCATTGTTTCTATGGGGGAGCGGATAGCGCAGTGGTAGTGATGGCATTCATCACGAGCACGGTTCCGGTTCAAACCTGCATCCACCCAGCCTCTTATCCCTCCAGTGTAGGGAAATTGGTACCAGACCTCTCTGTGAAAATTTTGCTCTCTATGCAGTCCACGTGGCAACGCTAACCCTACTATCCCAGGAGTTAAAGGAGAATTCACTTGACCAGCATTCAAAAACATTCATAACGAAAAAAATTGTCAATCAGCAGTGGAAGCCACACGCGAAAACTTCGAAGACCTTCGTGAATTACGGATGCAAGGAAATGAATCGCATCCAAGTGTTCGAATCTGCAGGGTAGGTGTGAAGACGTGTCGGGTAAAAGGGTTACTAACTGCCTACTCTTTTTAGTGGCAGGATATATTGCGAAATATTACTTCAATGATGCTGAGATATTTGCAAAACCGCATGGTGTGGTGGTGAACACGTTACTCCCCGGAAAGGAGAATAGCGCGTTCATTCCCCACCGCATACAGCTGCGGTCCGAAGGGTGTTTTGCAAATATCTCAGCATCATTAAAAGAATTATTATTTCCTTAACAAAGTACACCACAAGGCAAGTACAGATTGAAAATTCAACTGTATCATCATCTCTCCAATAATTGCTGTGTTCTAAGCGGGCGTTAAAGAGGTGCCAGTATACATCTCTCGGTTAAAGAGCTCAGTTACTTATGATAGGTCAAACAGCACGAATCACATGAAAGGATAAAGGATAAAGCTCTCGGCTTGGATCAATCCCTGAGTGGTGCGCCATGCATTCGACTTCATCAAGCATTGTTGAAGGTGTTTGAGTGCATATCTGACCTTTAGAATGACTCGTGGTGGTCTACTGATGTATCGATTCTGTGCTGCTATCCTTTCAGACAAGTTCGGTACCAATTTACCGACCCTAGAGGGATGGAATGCCTAGTGAGCCACGTGCGCGGAGATCGATTCCTCGTGTGCATCGCAGGGCGCCTCCGATCACTGCGCCACACGCGCCCAGCACGAATTACTGTTATTAAAAATTACGAACTTCTATGTTATTACTATTCATTCATTCTAGAATACTTATGAAGAAGTTACGCAATGGGATCGCTAGTTGTCCTAGTGTACATTTCACATCTCTGTGATACGAGAGTGAGAAAATTAATGAATTAAAATGGTCATCAACTATAATATCATTCGAAAGAGCATGAAAAGGAACACTTGAATATGACGCCCTGCACTTTGGAAAACTGATCGCGACAAAACTTCAACTTGGATTTGATTCAGGAAACTAACCTCGACATTTAGCTTAAAAGTCACATTATGATTACTTTATTGTGAACTTAATATTACAATCTAGGTTTATCATAGATGTGGCAATAGCTATATAAGATCTAGCACCGTTTCTCACAAAAACCATTCACATTATCCTTGGAAGGCATTACAAAACGTGCTCCTTGAGTTTCATCGGATATGATCTCACAATAATTCAAAGCAGTTTAGACTCGACTTCTGCTTTAATTTGTTAATCGGTTAAGACAGTCCTACGTAAACTTAAGCAGATGTTGCGATGATCACTTTAGTAAATGTCAGTGAAAAACTTTATTCGTGGAAGTTACGATATCAAAGTAATTAGACTGAACCTTACCATGGAAAGAAATGTTTCGAAAAACTTCACATAGATATAAGTGAACATGAAACTGGCATCAACATTTACGACAATTACTATATGGAAAATATGACTATCGATTACTACTGCTACTACTCTAGACACCATTCAAGCTTACTTTTTTATCGCTTAGGCTGCCATTATTATTACCATACAATTCCATCCATTATACAGATAATGGAGTTTCTTAGGAACTGTGATAAAAATGTGCTCAAAAAAACAACTGAACTTCAAATTCAAATTTAAGCTTGATATTGAGGCCAAATGCGCTTAGATGCTGACCATCGGATTTAACGACCAAAAGCAAAGGATATTAGAAAAAGAATTTGCGCGAAAAATTTACAATATGAAGAATCTGATAATAAAACGACAATCCTAAAACTAGATCGAGAGTTTTAGTTCATAAAACTCTAAATGGACCTTGGATTAACGTCGAAAAGCTCAAACGTTAATCGAACAGAGAAATGAGTTATGGTAGGACATAAGTTGGCCTCGATCGAGAGGCAGTCCTCAGATGGCTCTTCTTTTTAACCTGACGAAGGTAGCCATCTATCACCTTATGCGGACCTTACGAACTATCCATCCAGTGCAGCGGGTACTTCATGAAGTAGGATACTGTATAATTTAATACTTTTTTTGAATTACGTCTATGACTTGACGCTGAAACTACAGAATCGACTGAAGAGAACTGCATCTGAACATGGGCTTTTTCATCCTTGAAGAAGCGATGACGCATCGAAAGTCGAATGGCGAAACGGGCGGAACTATATCTTGTTGATTTTAGAACGCAGTCTAAAACAGAAGATTTTGCAGAGGCTATATAAAAGACGCCTATTTTGCTAAGCATGTCATGTAAAATCGTAAAAACAGGGCAGAAAGTGTCCTATGACAAAAGAACCACAAACTGAGCTGGAATTCTGGCGTGGAAACACGATAAAAACTTCACAGACAAAAGTTACCTGGCCTAATATGGTGGTGAGATTCGGATTAGAAGCTTGACCATTGATTCGTACTTTGCTATGAATCCAATACCTGGCCATGATAATCCGAGAGCAAAACGTTGATATATCGATGTAATATAAGGGGAGATCTAAAAATTTGATGAAAGGAACGATAAAAAATGGCATCTGAATTCATTATAAATGACTAACAGCTTAATTTATTCCAGAAATCTGAAAAGAAATGCAAGGACGTGGGTACCACTACCGAAATCGTCGAAGATTTCGTTACGTAAATCAAAAAGAATTTTTACGAGTAGTAAAAAAAAACCTAAAGAAACACGAATTCAAAATTGCAACATACCCAGTGAAGGACGGTGCGATAAATAAAAAGATAATGAATCGACGTTGACACAGCAAGACGACGTTGTAGGCGAACGAATAATGCTGACAAGAATACGATGTCATCCTCAAGAGGGCAGCCTAGACCGAAGATCGCTATGGAAAACTTTTCACTTATCTAAGTGGTCTTTAGAATTGGGCGTCCGCCCCATAACGAACACAAAGTACAATGAAAGGATAAAGGATAAAGCTCTCCGCCTTGATTAATCCGAGAGGAAGGCTACAGGAAAGCATTCCACTTCATTAAGTTTCGTTGGAGGTGACTAAATGCATATCTGGCTCTTGCAATGACTCGTGGTGGCCTACCGATGTATCGAACCAGTGCTGCTATCCTCCCAGACAAGTCTGGTATCAATCTGCCTACCCCGGAGGGATGGAGGCCTTGGTGATCCAGGGAAGTGGAGATCGATCCCATGTGTATTGCACCGCACCTCCGACCACTGTGCTACACGGGCCCTTATAAAGCACAATTAACACTTTCAATATGCCTTGAGGAAAAAAAAGTAGGAGAACCACCAGAATAAAAGTAATCATGATATTCAGACCTCGAAGAAACTGCATTAGCACTGTTTCGATGGTCACAAGCGTCCCACTTCGACCACAACCATCCAAACACTGTACGATAGTTGGTGTCACTTGAAGACGAGCCCTAAATATGTAGTTTTTATCCACTTTAAAATGTGGAATGGAACTTCTAACAGAATTCATGAATCTAATAAATTCACTGGGTGCAAAATTCTTCTCATAGTTCATTCTCAGTTACCTATGAGGATATTTTCGACTGTGGATGGTGTAACATAATTGAGAACCGACTTTGATTAACCTCAGTGTAAATGATCAATCTGCCTTATTTCACTTAAAAGCTAACATGAGGTTGCTGTCACATATACTTCATTACTTTGTTATGCGTTATATAAAAAAGCGCTGCCGGGCGAGGTTCCTTCATTCGAGCGATGCTCCAAGATTCGACTCGATACGACGAAAAAGAGACCTCAGCGAGAAAAGGAACAACTGTGGACCATCGACTCAGATCATCGCCTACGTCAAAACGTTAGCCAAATCAACATTTGGTAGCAACCAGGTTTAGCTCATCAATGAAATAACGTATATGAGTAGTGGTTCTGCACACACTAAAGCCCGCTGTTACGTTAAAAAGGCGAACTTGGAATCAATCAAAAGTACATCTTCACAGTGCCAGAACTGCTTCCGTTATACATTAAAAGATAAAGGATAAAACTCTCGGGGTTGATCAATCCCTCAAGGATGCGTCAGACTTCATTAAGCATCGTTTAAAGGGAATTGAATGCATATCTGCCCTTCGCAATGACCCGCTGTGGCCTACCGATGTGTCAAACCCGTGCTGCTATCTTCTCAGACAAATGTGGTTCCAATTTACCGACCCCGGAAGGATGGAAGCCTTGGTGGGCCAGGGGCGCGGAGATCGATCCCATGTGTGGGTTGCTGTGCGCTCTCCGATCACTGCGCCACACGCGCCCCACCTGCTACACATTAAGCACACAAAATATTAATAACAGACTATTTTATATACGTGAACTCCCATTCGAAACCTGTGTGTTAATTTTAAAAGACCAACTTTCTGAGTACTCGAAAGGGCCAATGTACATCACACATTTGCTGCCAATCCCACTGCCAATGCTCCACTGTGAGTATAGCTGACTCGTCGCTATTGTCCACAGATTGAACCTCCTGAATTCATTATTGCAAAAAAAGATGAGAAAGGATCCAGACCAAATCTCAAAAAACGTCATACTAACCAGATAGGTGACATTGAACAAAGGATCAACAGTGCCATCAACACGTACGTTACGTACAAGAAGCGAGCCGTATCTTTGGGATTCTCCCACGGATCTGTAAAGAAAGAATACAGAACGAAACACTCGTTGCTCAAAAATCTTTTAATTACCTACTTTTCATTGGCTATTAAAAGTGTCATTGATGACAGAAGAAAACAGATATTTCTCAACTTGCGCCTAAATTCCTACATGGAGCCAACCATCTCAGTAGATGACACTTGCATAACAAGGAAACGAATAAAAGTGCCGTAACCAGCACGTCATAGGGGACGGATTATTCCAGTAAGTAATAGGAATGAAGTACATTGTTCGAAGACAAACATTGAGCCCACTTTGCTGCCTTCTGTCTCATTTCGCCAAGGAAGAATTTCTAAGCGCGGAAAGAAAGTACTCAGTGGGTGGGCTATCTTCTCTGCAGAATCACACAAATTCTACAAGGGCTTGATATTTTCATCAATAAAACTCAGATAGGAGTAAACTGATGCCAGAAATCGCTGTCGCCATAAAAGAAGCTTAAAGGCAAAGCGAAAAGCCTCTCTTCGACACCAATATGCTCCAGGTCCTGTCGCGACGAAACTGAAATATTTATTTATGTGATCTTATAAACTGATCTTCTTAAGCTGACGCGACGTTGGTACTGGTCTTCCTTGTCGTTGTCGTTGTTTTTGGTGTTATTGATCGATGGCTGACGTTTCGATCTATGCATTACTTGTGGTGTTAGTGATTTCCACTTCCAGTAGTGGTCCTGCACGTAACATCACGGCTTTGAGGAAGGCGAAGCCGCTGAAACGTCAACCATCGATCAATAACATCAAAAACAACGACAACGAAGATCTGTACCAACCTCGCGTCAGCTTAAGAAGATCAGTTTATAAGATCACATAAATAAATATATCAACTAACTATGCCGAGGTTTATAGAAAGTCGGTCTTTCGAGAAAATGGAATGTCCTAGAACGTAGAGCTCAAGGCTCTGAGTGAAAAAAGTGTCTGATCAGTGAAATGCCATCTAAATAGGGATTTTCGAGCCAGTACACAAGTCATGAACATCCTATCCATACATGTGCGAGGTGCTTGAACTATTCGTTTACAACTGGCGAATACTTGCAACAGCTAAAATTCTCAAAAGACAATCATATCATCGTCTCATTTAGTCTCACTAAATATTTCAGTATATAAAACGGTAAGTTTGTTAGAATATACACTTGGAAGTCACTAACACCACAAGTAATGCGCGTTCAGAAAAAAAAGATCCTAATACATCCTCCTAGACGCTCTTAACACGACGATTCATAAAATTAATTGAATAAACATGTCAAGAACGAATTAATCATACCTTGGCCAATAATATAAACAGTGGGGAGTAGATGATCGATCGAGAGGACCCAAGGAATTCTTGTCCACTGCGCTACATAGCATAATAATAAAGTTCGATCTTTCCTGATATACCTAAACGAAGCTTCTCACATTTGTAGGGAAACCGAACTATCTACTTCACTCCAAGATTCTTGGTGTTAACAAAGAGTACAAAAAGCATAGTAGTTCTTTGAATATCTTGTTACAGCTGCTTATTAAAACACCTTTGTTTATTTCCATTGATAAATTAGTTGAATGATGAGAAAGGAACTTCCATTCCGTTATGATTACCATTCTCCAGAAATCAGACTGGGTGCTTTGAAGCGGAGCTTGAGTACAGATAAACGTGTTTAGTAGCGGACCACCACGAACATAATTTGCGTGGATGAAGTCTGGTGTTCCACTGAAAACTGAAACTAGCGGGCCATGGAAAGGGCATCAGGTAAAGATGGAAAGGTTAAGGTATGGAGAGGATAAAGTATAACGGAAATTGACGTTGCAGAAACCTACAATGTATAAGAAAGAAACAGCAGTAGTCTAGAGTTCCCAGAAGTAACCTAATCTAAGTAACACATTCTTATGGATGAAAGAAAGCTAACTATGTTGCTTGCTCTTCGCTCCTAGCAGTAGTATGATCACTTGCAAAAATCTCTCCAACAACATCGGCCCGACTGATCTGAGGAGAGTCATTGTCGCGAAGACGCACACGCGAGGCATCACAGCATGGAATCACTGAACAAATGACATTTTCAGAAATCCTGGAACGATCTGGAAAAAATCAGAACAAGAAGAAAGCATATTTCTAGTACTTCGTCTTAAATAACATCTTCTATACTTATAATAGGTTTCAAAAAGAAATAAAGCCAAGAGCGAGAGAAGCTTAAGTGCCTTGGGTACCACAGCATTACTTGGATATTTTGATGGCTCGTCTTCACTGGTTGTGCGGGGCCCCAGTATAACTTCCATTTTCTCTTCCACTTTTTTGGAGTTTGCTTGTTTGGCTATTGTGGTTCCCCGGAATCCCGGTGACAGCCAAAGTCTACCCAGGTCTCCACCACCACAGGCACTCGCCGCTCTTGTGGATCACAGGGAGAATGGCCACCATACGACTTTGATACTGGGACGGTGATGAGTCCCGGTAATTGTTCACTCTTAGCTAGGCTTCCTGATGGAAACGCCGGATTCCTTCTCAGTTTGGGAGGCCCTCCTATGGAGATGAATTCTCCTGCTGTAAAGATGACACCCGAGAACACCTCCCAGCCACGATGAGGCAGGAATCTGTTGGGAAAGTAGCATACCATTGCACTGCACAACAGACTATCACTATAGAGTTAGTTTTTCATAGCAACGTTGCGTGGACAAATGAAAAATACAATGACTGAGAAGTTACGTTTGCTCCTTGCTTTCGTCATATAATTAGCGTTGAAAGCGGTCTGTGAAGCTTCCTCCGGACTGAGTTCATTTACGGAGAAAAGCGACTCCAGTCTATTGAATTCCGCTGTGAATTCCTGATAAAACATTGAAAACACCACACAAAAGGAATTGAAGTAGGAAAGGAAATTGAGGTAAAAAGAAACAAAAAAAAAGAAAAATTGTGATGTCTACTATTAAAATAGCTCAGAACACACAGCTTGAAAACAAACCATCATGTGACAGTTGAACTTCCCAGGCTCCATGAGAAACGACCACTTCAGTCTGTCAGTCATCTGTTCGGCAAATCTTGAGATACGTGCAGCAATCTGAGCCGAAACGTTTTCCGGTTGACGATACCAGTTATGAAGAGGATCACGCTAAAAAAGAAACCCTCTGGTCTTAACCATAATGATGCTGACATATTTGCAAAACACCGAATCGCTGGTGTCTGCGATAGGGACAGAGCGCTGACGGGTGATTGGTGATAGCGCCTATAGATCAATAACACGGCTGAGAGACATGCGAAACGAAGGAAGGGTAGTAGCATGTTCGATCCCCACCGCAGACACCAGAGTTCCGAAATTTTGCAAATATCTCAGCATCATTACGGTTGTATTTTACATAATACCCTGCCATTAAAAACGAATGCGCAGGAAATAAAAAGCGAGGACAGCATAATCTTAGTGAAATCATTCCGGCTAAAACGATCACTCCGCATCACCGTGAATGCCTTTGGAAGTTGGATTACCTGTTGGACAGCCTGACCCTAAGTCTTCACAAAATACTTATAAGAACGGTTAAGAATGAAGAGAATGTTGAAGTGGTACACTTTAAGGAGCATACCATTTGCAAATTAAAAAGAGCAACGACGTCCTAACGGTTCACCGTCTCATCGTGTCTGGGTGGTGTTCCTGGGTATCGGGCTGCCATGTGTGGCGTGGAATTCGTTCTTCTGCAGGGTTTCCCAAGCTGAGAAGTCGTTCGGCGTTTCCATGAGGTAGCCCAGATGAGAATAAACCAATACTAGAATCCGTCACCGTCCTGGTACCAAACTTAGTCGCACGGTGGCAAACTCCCTCTGAGCCATAACGGCGGGGACTGCCTGTGATGATGCTGACGTGGGGCAGATTTTGGCTAAGCCGACCTCGAGATATCAGGAGCCACAGTAGCTAAACCAGCAAAACTCTGTAAGAATGGAAATTATGCTGGGGCCCGCACAACCATTGAAGACGAGCCATCCAAGTATCCAAGTAAATAAAGAGGGACTACTGACGTCACTTAATAATATTAAAACAGCTTACACTCTTTAAACGATTGAAATGGGACGCAGCCTTGTAAAGAACACTGGTGCACTCACTGATCGATGGCACTAGACGATCCATTAACCAGCCAGTCATCTCTTCACTAGAATTCAGTATTAAAAGGATGCAAATGAAGAAGAAAACATCAAAAGTTTGGATATCAAATCGTCCGTACCCATATTTTCTGATAAGATCGTCTTCATTGAGATCGAAAACAGATGACTGTACGATCATACTTTGTATCAGTTCAAGTCGTGTCTGTTCATCACAGAGAATCCCATCAACTTTGAAGAGCTTTTGAGCAATAAACGTCTTCAACTCGGAGTCTTCGTGTGTTTCCTAAATTCAGGCAAAACGCTTTAAGGTCCTAACTAAGGACCTTATAAGATCTGTTAGATAAAGTCAACTAGAGGAAAACCAAACAAGAAGGAGAACTAGAGCAAAAGCATGAGATGCGACTGAACTCACAAGACGTTTCAGCAGTGCTCGGTCAGTAAAGTAGTGTATCCATCTTCCGATGAATCCATCTTTATTCTGGGACTAAAGAAGAGTAAAACATAACTATAGAGTAGTTCTGAGCTTCAAGGACACTAAAGAAAGATTGCCTCGAAAAGCTGAGCTTCAACGACTGCTTTCTGACGGTTATCATCAAAGTTCTCATCGATGACGGCATCCTGAACGACTTTTCACATCATTTAAACTTCCCTTTTTGTCCGAATTACGCTTTCAACCTAAAATTCTCAACCATAGCTTTCCGGGATAAAAAGTCAGCACAAATCGTTGACAACAAGAGCAAATTTTCGCATCAAAAAATGAAATTGAGTGGTCATCGGACCCCAACTTCTGTCTATTTATCCTAAAACACGGAGTCCTTAACAGTTCTTTAATTTCCCTAACCGTGAATAGATAGGTCATGGTTCCCACCAAGAAAAGAGAATTCTTTAAAAAACGATGAAATTAATAAAAAAGTAAGGAAGAGAATGAGTATAGCAATACAACATTTGCTTACGTGGAACTCAACACTGCTAGCTAATGAGACGGCGTCCAACACAGTGACTTTCTTCATCTGGTACAAATTTTTAAAATCCTGAAGGAAATCTTGAAGAGAAGCTAAAGTGGTAGCGCTTGATTAGAACGAAAAGATCGTGCGCGACTTGTGCGCGCGATTCAACTTGCGCGGATCGATTGGTTTGATCTGCTGTTGGTCTACCGTCGAGATCTATATGTGGGCACAAGTGGACAATTTTTGTTGGAAGATTTACTTGCAGAGTAGACAGTATAGATAGAGCCAATAAACTTACTTTATGGGTCTCAGGGAGGCGCACGTAGCACAGTGGTTGGAGGCGCCCTGCAGCAAACATGGGATCAATCTCCACGCCCCAGGGCCACCAAGCCCTCCATCCGCCCGGGGTCGGCAAACTGGTACCAAGCTTGTTTGGGAGGATAGCAGCACTGGTTCGATACATCGATAGGCCACCGCGAGTCATTGTAAACGCCGGGTATGCATTCAGTCATCTCCAACGATGCTTAATAAAGTAGAATGCATGGCGTATCCCTCAGGGATTAGTCAACGTTGAGCGCTTTATCCTTTATTTTTTACCATTTATTTAATGTTATTAATATTTCAGTGTCATGTTCTTGAAAGTGTTAGCAACATTTCTTATTTTAGCAAACAAAAAATACGTTTTAAGAGAGTTTACTATTACCTAAAATCTACTACTACAGTGTCTGTAAAGTAAAGGGCTGGTCGATTCTTCTCGATGTATAACCCATATATGAGTCATAATGTCTCGATTGTGAGGAATACAGGATTTGATTCCAATAAATTCTACGCGATTCGCTATCCCTATTCTGCGTGGTTCGTTCCAGCCAGTCCTCTTTGCAAAGAAGTTCTTTCAGTGTTACAATTAGTGTTATAGGTAAAAGAAAAGAAGTTTTCAGCGTTAATCAATCCCTGAGTGCGCCATGCATTCGAGCTCATTAAGCATCGTTTGGAGGTGATTGAATGCATATCTGGCTTATACAGTGACTCGCAGTGGTCTACCGATGGATCGATCCAGTGCTGCTATCCTCTCAGATAAGTCTGGTACCAATTTGCCCACTCGGAGGGATGGAAGGTTTGGTGGGCCACGGGCGCGGGGATCCATTCCCACTATTCTGCGTGATTTGCTTCAGCTAGTCCTCTTTGCAAAGTTCTTTCAGTGTTACAGTTAGTGTTCTCGATAATTATAGTAAAAGCAGAACAATTAAGATAATTATTTCCGATTAAAAAAAAGACGATGTACCGACGTTTTTCTATCAAAGTGCTTAGATTTTATGATTGTCCATAAAAAAGTCAGAAGCATGTTTCCAAGGATTTTGCAAAAAGCCGTAAAACCTTTGCCTTACTATCAGAAACATGGCTCCAAGATCGGATACTATCCTGGAGAGATTTCTTCAGGGCTATTTTAGCCATTTGTTGCTAAGCACACCATAAAGGCCTTTCAGGAAGAATTCTTATTGCGTTTACAAGGATCTTTGACAAAGCTCAACCGCTTGAGCAGAAAGGCGGAATGAATTCTACTATGTATCAGAGTGAAGTCATTTCTAGAGTCGTAAAAACAGGTCCCTTAGTAGTAATCTTCTTCATCTTAGTCGATGTGGACTTGAAGAAGGTAGCGTTATCTTAAAGGAGTTAAAAATGCTAACGGCGAAACGAACGTAATATATTCCGTTCAAAGGAAAACTTGCGAACGTACCATTCACGAGAGCACGAGTTCCCGTAGTGCATTGCATAGAGGTTTCATGAAATATGGAATTGCTCGATGGTTCGATCGTGTGCCCGTGCAAGCCAAGTCCTCTGTCTGTTAGGGAAATTGTAATGGAACTTGTGTGGGAGACGAGAACACTGATCGTTCATAGATCGGTAGGCCACTGTAGTTCATTTCGTAGGCCAAGTTTCCATTCAGTCATCTTAAGGATGCTACGAATGGAGAAGAATGGATGGAGGATCCCTCAGAGATCGATTCATGCCTATCACTTGTCCTTTTAATCTGTTCAATGCCCACTGAAGGTAATGATTGCCAATGATTGCGACTGAAGTGTGACTGATTCATCAAATACAGTCATTGAATCCAAATTGACATTCGCTATTTTAAAGGCAACGTGCTGAACAAAAAGGCAGTGGTGAAGAGAACTAACAGGTTATGAAGAACTGTAACCACTGTTTAATATCATCTGTGATTGATATCTTATCTTTTTGCATATCCAATTCAGAAGAAAAATGTTTAGTTCTGTTTGAATCAGTAGTAGCGGGAAGGATAAAGCGTTTATCACTGATTGATCCCGACAGTGATCTGCCGTGCATTGGACTCAATCGTTTTCGAGGTTCTGAACATCTGCTAACGATTTTTCGGAATGAATACACAGTGACATCAATTTAGTAGTTTTATTTCAACCTAACATCGTAAAGGCGAATGATTGCATATTTGGCCGACAGAATGACTTCCGGTGAGTGGATTACCGATGCAACACGTCATTGTCTTTGTCATCCTAGAGAAATTTGATGTCATTTTGACAACACTGGACGGATGAAGCCCTACTTCAGCCTAGGCTACTAGCAGGATTTTCATATTTTCCTGTATTTTCCACAATTTCTACGAATGCCTTTCTCCACTTTTATGTTTGAGTGTGTATAGCGCAGTGGTCGGAGGCGCCCTGCAGCACACACGTGGAATCGATCCCGGTGATCATGGCCCACTAAGCGTTCCATTCCTCTGGGGTCGACGAATTGGTATCAGACTTGTCTGAGAGGATAGCAGCAGTGGTTCGATATATCGATAGACCAACGCGAGTCATTGTAAAGGCCAGATATGCACTCAATCACCTCCAAGCGTTGCTTAATGAAGTCGAATACAAGGCGCACCCTCAGGGATTGATCGACGCCGAGAGCTTTATCCTTTTTCCTTTCATGTTTGAATGAATACACAGTGACATCAATTTAGTAGTTTTATTTCAACAATATTTACACGTGTACTTACAATTTACAATTATTACAACAATGAAAAAAAGATCGTTACGTAAGTTGAATTACAGAAATATTTTGATTTGGCTTGTTTGCGGTCTTTTCATGCTTCATAAGGGCAAGTTGTCGTTCTTCTTTCGTCATGAACAACATTTCCACTTCATCAATTGAATAACCCCTTGTTTCCGGTACGAAGATGTAGATGAAAATCAATGCGATGAACGTGAGACCGGCGTAGAGGTAAAACGTACCTGAAAACCGAAAAATCGTTAGCAGATGTTCAGAAGCTCGAAAACGATGTGGGTTTGGGTTTTTCTTAAGCACTGCCTCCACTGTTACACAGGAAATTCGATGAGGAATAGCTTTATTGTGATCTAGTGATCCCAAAATTTGGAACGAAACCACTGGCCATTTTTTAATGTAAATGAGCCTGATTCGGCCCCTAGAGTTGCCCTATTTGGTACTGATCTCCTACAGGCACAATTTGTTGAATCGAACGATAAGATCAATCGATAACAAAAAACTCATCACTACCCTTCTTCTGTGGGGTTGAAAATGATTGTGGAAATGTGGAAAGAAAATGGAATGGAATGTGATAACTGAGAGGAATTCAGCCTTGAATAGATAACAGAATAGAAATCAACGGTACCAAATTTCGTTATCGCCTGACTGAGTGATAGGAACGTAAGAGAGATGACCAGATTAAACGTCCAGTTAAAGGCCGTTGTGATTGATACACATGTACTCCTCGCCCAATGGGGATAGAATTCAGCGTTCACCACCCATGGCAAAGGAGCGAATCCTGAAAAAGGCGGGATAAGTACGTAATGATCAATGTTCCTGAAAAGTATGGAGGGTACATGTGTGAACACGTTTGGTGACTGATCAGTGAATGATATTAGATATATTCAAAGCGATGTGACGAGCCGGTAAAAGAGCAGCTGTATTGATTACTATCGTGAGAAGATCAATAAGCGGTTTATTTTGCGCAGTCTGCTAAGTACGAGAGGATTGCATTTCGTCGCTAAAATTTGCTGGTACTTTAAAGCTGAAAAATGAAAAACAGCCGGGAAAAAATCCGTGAAGTGAGAGCAGAAACAGCCAGAATTACTAATTATAGTCGCTCGTTATTCACTAAAAATTAACCAGGAACTTGCTTTGTACATTAATTAAAACAGCGCCAATTGTTGCTTCACGGCCTTCGAAAGTGCACCTCTCACTCGTGCTTCAGACTGCGCAATGTAAACTATGCATATTGATCGTGTCGTAGGCTAGGCGATGCTTTGGCGATTGGTTGTTCACAGTTTCTTGGAAATCTAGTACAAATTCATAAACTTCCAAAGGATTTAATGCTTGATTCACTATAGATTGATCTATGAATAATAAATACTCCCATTGAATCACTTAAAGTAGCGACCGATGTTCGGTACTTTGTGGTTTCCCTTAAAGAACACTTTTTCTGATAACACCGACTTCATTGATAAGTGACAGCTTACCAATTGAGAATGATAGTAGGTATAGGACCATGATGATAATTGGAAACACTGTTAAACTGGTCTTGCACGAATTTCGATCCCATTCGTATGTTGTACCTTTAACATGGTTATAATTAGAAAGTTCAATATTCACCTCCTTATCAGTAGTTCTTTTACATAAAGCAATAAGATTAGAGAAAAGACAAAAAGATGAAAAAAATGTAAGGAACGATGACATTTCACTTACCAATTTCTTCAACAGATTTGCATGGTCCTATAGCCGACACCAATGCATCATCATCATATTTTTCAAGACAATAACCTAAAAAATCATTTTTTTTTACTCCTAGTCTCTTCTACGATCCATTTCATTCCCTCTTCATATCCCCAAAGATTTGCCCCAACGCCAATAAATCATCTTGCGATTATATGGATTTTTAGTATAAAAGAAAAAAATAGTAGCCAAGAGGGATAGAGTAGAAATGTAAGGATATTTTCATTTACGTACCCGTTTTTTGTCCCTTTATTTCACAGAAACCGCACGCTTCATTAGTTACACAGAAGTCGCAATTACTGAAAAGGAAAGGAGCCGTTTTTATGGATCGCAGAAAAAGAAGACGGGTTTTCACAGGTTTAATGACTTTGACTGACTCTTCTGATAAGCTTTCATGAGAGTATTTATTAAGATATCAACAAATAATCGAAACGTTTTCTGGTGTGTCTGGGTTGGTTAGAAATAACTCTTCTCATTATTGCAAATTTTGACATTAATTAATGAAAAAACAGCTGATTGCCCATAGTCTAAATCATTGTGCACCCTGTGAAACCGGCTAAACCTCCTTGATCTCTACTGGCCAATAGAAGATGTGCTGGGTTATCAAGATCTAAAACAGTCATTGTCACAAATTGTGACATTCTACGGTCGAAATCTAAATTGAAACCAACCCAAAAAAAGATTTAAGTTTCCGTTGTGGCAATTTTGTTTCACAAATGTATATTTGTGAACACGTACAGTAATTATCCGCTATTCCAAAATTGATCTACCATGAAAATAACAATCGATATCATTTGGATTAAACTCTATGCTGATTGCTCTCGGACAGATCATAATTGGTTACCCTATGAAAACGACCGTTCCTATAATAATAAAGAGTGCAGTTTACTGCTGGCTTTATTTTCGGATCCAATTTTTGCCTAAATTTTGCAACATTTGGCGGAAATAGGTAAATACACCGCCTTTTTATTTGTCTAATATATTATTTTATGTATTACACATTGTAAATTACAGTGATCCGCACAATATTTCTACGTATTTGTGTTCAATTTAAGCTTTCAATTGTATTAAGTCTTCTTGAACGTTGAAAATATTCCCTAAATCACTAACCTGTACTGTTCACAGTGTTTCTGGATGCTGTCAGGATATGACAAGTTGGCAAACGATCGATCGTGTAGAGCTACTGCTGATTCCTAGAAGAAGCGAAATTTTTAAAGTATTGAAATGTCGACCTGTTTGCTTGAGTATTTTTTAATAAGCCTTTTAGAGTTTAAGTTAATTCAAAGGTTTAAGGAAAAATGGAGAGAGCGAAATAGACCTTTTCTATTCGATTACTTTCCCAAGTTTTCGGCGATTGATAAGTTCGAGTAATCGATATTTTGGAAAAATAGATACAAAGAAGTAAGATATATTTTCATGGAGAAGATTTATAGTGATGAATTTATCTGAATTATGCTTGACGAACATTGAAAAATTTTGAACAAAACCATCTAAATGCATTTCTTCTTAAACAGCGAAAATGTGCTCTTTCCTTCCCTCTATTAGTGAATGGAAAGGAAATCGATAGGTAGTGTTTTCCAAAATAAAAAGGAAACCTGTGCTTACTCTGTTAATCATAACGAATGCTGTTCCCATCGCAAGAAGTGTGGCAATAACACAAGTCACTGAGATCATAAATAAAACTCGACGTCCTATACGTTCAATGAGAGTCATCGGAACAAACGTGCCCAAGAAATTGATCGCTGAAAATCAACAGCGATCAATCGATCGATTCTACCGATAATCGTGTTCAGAAGCGGAGAAACCGAGGAAAATATGTCTCATACTTGATGTTCCGACGGTAATCCAAATCGTTATATGCGGATCGGTCACCCCAGATGATTGAATGATCTTTCCTGTGTAGTACCTAGAAATTCTTCGTTTCACTGATCCTTTGACGATTAAATTTTTTAAAATTCTATTCGTGAGGACAAAGCAGAGATCTGTGGAGAAATACAGAAAAAACGCAGTTTTTTTGGCATGATGAGGATTTACGGTTTTGATGACTTTATATGAATGATTACAGGTACATTCGTGTACAGTTTTTACCAGGTTTAGTTTTTTACCGCAATCTTTGCGAAAAAAAAAGTAGAGAGAAAAACTTACATGACGGTATTAATGCCGGATAGCTGCTGGAATGCTTGTACGGCACTGCCAATGAAAAGAGCCTTTCGGACATGAGGTGTTTGTGCGATTCGCCAGAGTATCGAACCTCCAGCTTTAATAAAACGATTGAAACAAAGTTAACCGTGCAAAAACCTTTTATAATAAGTAAGAATGGTATTTGTAATCTCTTAATAGTCATTAGCATGCGAGATGGAATGGTTTAAGGTGTCGCGCCAAACGCGCGCTGTCGTTGGCTCGGTCTCTGGTCCGGAATCACCAAGTCTTCCATTCCTCAAGGGTCAGCAAACTGGAGTTAAACTCATCTGGAAGGCAAAAATTATCGACTTGAGACATAGATATATCATCGCGAGTAGCTGTTTAGGGCAAGTATGCATTCAGAAACCCCTGTGATGATTCAAATGGAATCGAATACATGGTGAATTACCCAGGCGTTTGTCAATAACAAATTTCCTTCTCTCTCGTTTTAGTAGCGGTGTATTCTCAGATGTTAAATTTCACTGTAAACCGCCATGTGCGAGACCAATTAGGTTGATTAGGTGTTCAGCATTTCTATTTAGAAATTCAGTTAACACTACAGTACGATGTGGACTGTCGAAGAAAAAACGGTTCCGTTGGATTTACAATAAAACCATTCCATTTGCCAGATTTTCACGAGTCCAGACCACAGAAAGTGTAGTGAAAGTTTCTAGGATAGGTTTAACTGAACTAGACAACCATCGAACTCCACTTGGATGAGCAAAACAGGTAATGAACTCATGAACCTTCTGCCATATAAACAAACACCGTCGACTACTTGGAACCCTCTCTTTTCACATTATGAAGTGCTAAGTCATCAAGTTAAACATTTCACGACAAGAAACTCAATTGAAAAACACCTGGACAAATGACGCAAGAGAATAAAAAAAGGATAAAGCGCTCGGCGTTGATCAATCCTTGAGGGCCATGCATTCGAGTTCATTAACTATCGTTGGAGGTGATTGAATGCATATCTGGTCTTTACAATAACTCGCGGTGGCCTGCCGATGTATCGAGCCAGTGCTGCTACCCTCACATACAAGTCTGGTACCAATTTGCTGACCCCAGAGGGTGGAATGCTTGATGGGCCATGGGGCGGAGATCGATTTCACTTGTGTCGCCTCCAACAATTGCGCCACACGCACAGGAACGGCGCGAGCAGGTAAATCTCTGTTAACAAAAATTCTCTTAGTCATGTTATTTTTCTCATTCACTACTGTTTTTTACTGTTATCATCGTAGTTGATTTTTTTTAAAAGAACAGAAATTAAACCGGTTAGGAGGAAGTTGTCATGAGTTCTGGCGATACATACCGGCATGCTCTTGCTTCGCCACTGATTCCATTTTGTGACCTTGGCGAATTTCAGCCATTTCGTATTGAACCCATTCATCATCTCCATTGTAGACTTTTTTGAGAACCTTCATAGGATACAAAATGTAGGAAAAACTGGGTTATCACCAGCAGAAATCTCAAGGAAGTGCATAATAATCAATTACCGCTTCGGTTTCTTCTTTCAAGTTGTGCTCAAATAACCATCGTGGACTCTCTGGTAAAAATAAGAAGCAAATAAATTGGATGACAGCCGGAATAGCAGCAAATCCAAACATCAGTCTAAAAAAGTTAACAATGAAATTGTAGAGGGAATATTTTATATGATTAGGTGCTTTATCTAGTTTCACTTTACAATAAAGCAGGATGAGAAAAGCTGCTGCCAGTGACTAGAGATGTCGTGCGATTCCTTGGTTAGCTGTGGCTCAACTCAACACAGGGCCAAGCTAGCCATCTATTCGTTAAGGTACTGTGGATCAGTCCTAGTCTCGTCTGGAAAAACTTCTCCGATACATAAAAGCCGGAGAGTTCCTGAGGTGAAGACTTCTAGACATTTAGGACGGCTAACTCGAGATTTCACAAAAAGTCCATTCCAACAACATTAATCGAACCGAATGAACGAAGGGCTAGGATCCGCATAATATGTGAACACAGGTAGTATGAGGAGATGAAAATAGAAAAAATCATTGAAATAACGAGTATGACAGACCTCCACCCAATGTTAGTGGGATCGATATAGCTGAACGCTCCTCCAAATACGTTAGCGACAACCAGACCAATAGTGATCATCAACTGAAAGCCAGTCACCATACGGCCACGAATATGTGATGGTGATACTTCGCTTACATAAACGGGTACGATCATCGAAGCAAAACCTATAATAGGGGCACGAAAAAACTATCTCGCATGCTGGTAAGATCGTTAGTGATTTTCTTTTTTAGTTCTTTCATTCTAGGATGAAAGGATAGAGAAAAAAGCGCTCGACGTTGGTCAATCCCTGTGGAATGCTCTATTCATTCGATTTCATAAGGCATCGTTAGAGATGATTGAATGCATATCTGGCTTCTACAGTCACTTGATGTGGCCTACCGATGTATCGAGTTAGTGTTGCTACCGTCTCTGACAAGTCTGGCAACAATTCGCTGACCCCGGAATTCTCTGACCGATGAAAGGATTGGTGAGCGAGGAATGCGATATCGAACCCATGTGTATTGTAGGGCGCCTTTAACACCTCACTACACGTGTTCTTAGGACAGGTTTAGGAAGAATGTTAACAATTTCTTAATCTTACCGATGGCGATTCCGAGCAGAATTCTGCCGAAGGCAAGAAGGGGTTTCGTCCATGCGATTCCACAAATTATGGCTCCTACAGCGAATACGATTGATGCGGCAACGATGACTTTTTTTCGACCAAAACGATCAGAACCACTAGCGGATAGTAAAGCTCCAACAGCGGCGAATCCTAAAAGCGAAAAACAAAAACTATAAAAGCACATCGACTGTTTCTTCTACATGAGCTGTCCTACCGTGTCTGCCACACATCTAATGCTAACCATCTGTGGTCTACTGTGTCCCTTTACATCTACACAATTGAAATGAACTTCATTCAAATAATTCAGAAATTAGAACTTTACGTATTACAAACGACTCCAATACATGGCAAAACCCCTTGTGATTCTGTTCCTACAAGTTTCCTAAAAGCTTATTCATGCAGGAGCGATAGTGGGTTTGTCTGGTTTGCCCTGATGATTGTACTATGAAGACAGTAGATTTCAATCGAACTAACTGTTTCGGCTTACATAGCAATAGTGTGGCCGTAAAATTCTAGCTGTATAATAATGTGTCAATGCACAGGGACGATTTATTTCATGGGATTTTTCTCGTGTTTCCCTATCTTATTTTCGCTGCTTTTTTTGGTATGAAGTTTCTTATGTCTCGAATAAGAAGTAGAAGGAGAGGGAAGGGAGAAAAGGTCAGTGTCACAGAGTACCGAAAAAAGTGAGAGGAAAAGTTAGATATTTGACGAAAATTGTGCAGAGTAAACTCCAGATCGCAGGTGTCCGCGGTAGGGAAGAACTAGCTGAGAGACAAGGGGGTGGTGGTGAACGCGTTAGTCCCCGGAAAGGACAATAGCGCGTTCGTTCCCCACCATAGACACCTGCTGTCCGGAGTTTTGCAAATATCCTAGCATCGTTGTGGTTGTATTTCGCATAAAATCCTGCTTTGAAGATTGTAGAGGCAGAAAACAAGAAGTACAACATTGTGCAGGGTATTTTACAACCGATAAAAAGGGTTTTAATGAATTATTTAAAAGCCAGAAAAAAGTTTGTTTCTAATGAAGTTTCTTTTATCACAGGCTGTTGGTATTCACATACCGGGAGTCACGCTGACGATTATTTCCTGCCAGATATACTCCATCGGCTTCATTCCTTTATTCTCTGGTACGAATAGCATAGCAGCTGAGACAATTCCCGTATCGTATCCGAATAGAAATCCACCTGAATTCTTTGTTTATTAAGACAAGAAAACATCCACAACGATTTTATTCGAGTCTGTAACGTGATCCTCCATAGTGAGAATCGGTATTTTGTAACTGTTATCGATTGAATAAATAATTCAATACTTCCAAGTCATATTTAAAATTCTCTGGAAGATAAATCTACAATATCCAGCGTGTTAATATTAGTTTGCAAAAAAAATAAGTACAGTGTTAAAACGCTTTAACAGTGCGTTCGCGTTCATTTTCTTGTTCGACTCAACTATGCTTGCCTCGGAAAAATTTTCGATTGCTTGAATGAGATCAATCACATTTACTAAAAACCTTTCTTCTGGAGATCGTTACATTGTTTATCAACTTCATTTGTACGCATTTTGCCCAGTTCCCCAAACTTACTCCTAATGATAGTTGTAACCAGCTCACTGGTACAACAGTAAACAAAAACATTGGGGAAATCCCATGGGATTTTGTTTCGGGTGGGAAGGATTTCGTTTTTAACACGAGATTAGCCCGTGTATGACGGCTGACGAAATGAGGTTTGATTAACCTCCTATCGTACATTTGTTGGCAACGGCGGTCTTATTTTGGATGTTCTTGAAACTTCTAGTTAAACAGCAAAGTGGTCAAGAATTTGGAAACTGTTCAACGATGCTAATCCAATGGCCCGACTCAGGCACATTTATCGCTCAATTATTACTCTGTGCGGCTGCTATTCATCAATTAACTTAAATACTTACAACAAATAAACGGTTCTGAAGAAGGTGAAACCGCCGAGACGTCAGCTGTTGTATCCTAATAAATTCTATAGTAACAACCTCGTGTCTGCTTATTGAAGAAAAACATCGAAATCTCATAGAATTGCGCAGGCGTCTCAAACAAAAATCCAATCACAATGATGTTGAGTTATTTGCAAAACTCCGGACAGCAGGTGTCTATGGTGGGGAGTTAACGCGCTATTACGCTTTCCTGGGGCTAACGCGTTCATCACCACACCATTCAAGTTCCTCGTTTCGCCTGTCTCTCAGCTAATTCAACTCTGGTTCTCATAACAAAAAATCGGTGACAATTATTTTCACAATGAAAAATTACACTCATTGTTATCCTGCTGTTTTTTTCTGACGTTTTCCCGAGTTAAAGAAAAAATTACGAAAAGTCTTAACACTCAACGAAGGCACAAGCTTATCGGAAAGATGTCTCTAGCTATATAGGATCCTTCTATTTCATAGTTTTCCATAAAAAAAAGAGGAGAGGAAAAGACTTTTTCCTCCTAATACGATTGTATTTTGGCGAGTGTGCGAATCAGGAAGCCCCTCTAGAGTGCCATGACATTTTGTCTTCACGGCTTTATTTTTGTCCTCGTAATAGAATAATAATAAAAATGAACTCTATTATATAAAAAAGCTTGCCGATAACTGCCGAAAATGAGAGCATGTAGACGAACCAGCCTATTTTTGGAACATGTTGTGGTTTTGGGATACCACTAGTACCCATGGAAACCTTAAAACAAGAGAAATTATGTCAAATTATATTATTAGTACCACATTTTCAAGAGCTTTTTTTCAGAACGTCTGTAGACTGAAAAGTTGGTTTCGAGTGCTTCAACGGAACATCGGAGCAGTAGGGCATGCAAGTTATATATACCTCATTTAATCATCGCTGTGCCAAAAAATGAGTGCATCGACAGCGCGAGTTTTCCACTTTTGATGTCAATTTGCCCTTGATCTATTACACGTCCTACCTTACTCACTTTTGGAACCACATATTAACAAAGTGGTGCATGTGAGTCTCGTATGACTCACACTACCATCACTTCGCCAAAAGCTGAGGAAACTGACCACTGGTTTGCTTTATTTCTGATAGCGATTTAGCTAAGGTTTAATACCATGTTATAATGAAAATATGTAAGCCATATATATCAAAAATTTAGTCGTTATGTCAAAAGAAGAAGATATTGGCCATCGAATTCCTCCATTTTTGACTTCGATTTTACTCTACTCTGATCAATTGCCACCTGTTTGCCCCACTGTCTACTTCACGAGGCTAATCGCCTTTAATTTCCACACGATAGTGAAATTTAATGACATGTAAATTTGATAAAATAAACCTAACAGAATTCACTTACCACGTTCACTTGCACCATGGTGATGACAAGCTTAAATCAAGAAGCTCGAAAAATTTTGGTAGCACACTGAAATAACAAGATATTCTTAGAAAAGCAAACGATTACGGTAATCTCATTACCGCATGATCACCACGTCAATATATGTTTAAATCGAGAAAAATTCGATTATAATCGATGAGCAGTCGAATTAAAAGAAAATCCAGAGCTCTCGAATGATTCGTTTTGAACAGTTGTGAAAAGTTTTCCTCTTACGAATATTCGAATACGAGTTCGAATCCAATAGAGTTTTTTCGCTCGCGCATAGTCCAAATCCCTCTTTAAAAAACAAATTAACGCGAATAGAAATATATCAAAAAGGAATAAAGGACGAAAGAAATTCAACAATGGGTTAAAATCTAACGGAATTATGTCGCAATTGAATTTTCCTTACAATAACAGTTCTTATCACCTGTCATCCACACTTGTGATTACCGTTGTCTTGCAGAAGAGTTAAAAAGGAATTACATATGAAATTCTGCAAATAAAAATGAAAAAAAGAAGGGTAGACGATTGGACTAGATTTTATTCCTCGTCTGGAATAAGCCGAATGTTAGGGAGATTCTGAATGGTGGATAGGAAGTAGGAAGAATTTTTTTGGTTGGCACCAGCAGGCGTGTCAAACGCTTGATGAAACTTCTAGAGATTGTGAGTGATGCTAATGATAATGGAGACTATCGTCGCCTTCTTTCACAGCGGGGTTTTTCTGTTATTTTACATCATTTGTTATCATATCTACTGCTCGGATGCCAGCGCACCTTGTATTCGATTCGTTTTCCTCACATCAAGAACCGGAAAAAGTCTTCGAAGTTTTCTATTTTGCTGCTTCGGCTTCTGATTGAAGATATCGTATTTTTTACGAATACTATAGAGTGCTGGTTGAGCCGATACTCCTTGCAGGCCTGGAGGTAGTCGCGCTAGGGCGTTCCCACATGGCTTGGAGGAGAGCAATGGAGACACCATGCCTCCCGATGGACTGGATCACTAACCACTCCGCTATCCCACCTCGTTTTTTCATTAACATTGCTTTTTTTTTATACCAAACTGTATTTATCATTTGCACAGAAAGAAGATAACGAAACACACATGTAGGTACCAGTTCCTACGCACTAGCTCTGGAATGATAACGAAGAATCCCATCCTTGCGGGGTCGCCAGATTGGTAATGGGAGGATAGAAACGTCAGCATAATAGATCAATAGGTATCCAAAAGTCATTGCAGAACCCATATATGTATTAAGTCTTTTCCATGGTGCTACGAATAGAAACGAATGCATAGTTTATCTTTAAGAGATTAATCTATATCGAGTGCTTTACGCTTTCGAAGAAGCAGTTCCGAGCTCTGGTGTTTTTCTTGGGTTCGAATTATAGGAGAGATGATTAGTTTTGGATTTTTTGACACATTTGTCAAATCAAATCGTTGGCGTTGTCAGTTTATAGAACCGGTTTGTTAAAGTAATCACGAGGTAGCCATCAGTTGCTGTAAAGTGAAGAATAAGGATTTCTGGAAAAAACGATCACCACGTGATTTCGGTCCTGTCAAAGACAGGTGGAAAGAAAAAAGACCGAAACCAGATCACCACGCCATGGAAACCTTCATTGCGCATCGCTCGTTAATTTTTTTTATCTGTTATTATCAGTGGTGGTCAGTAATGATAATGCCGTAATAATGTACAATAGTATCAACACAGCAGCATAGCTATATTATAAGCATATACTTGATACTTAATACTTGAATGGCCCGTCCTTACTGGTTGTGCTGGCCCCGGCATTATCTTTATTTTTCGGAGATTTGCGGTTAAGCCATTGTGGTTTCCTGGAATCCCGAAGACAGCTTGGCCAAAGACTTCCCCAAGCCTTCACCACCACAGGCAACCCTTGTGGATCAGAGGGAGATTTACCACCATGCGACTTTAATACCAGGAGAGTGGTGGATCCTAGCATTGCTTTACTCTTAGCTGGGCTTCCTGGTTTTCTGATAGAAAGGCCGGACTGCTTCTCAGCTTGGGAGACCTGGCCAGGGGATGAATAACCCGCTGCACATCGCAGTCCTACACCCAGGAACACCTCCCAGCCACGATGAGGCGGTTAACCGTTAGGAGGTTATAAGCATATAGTTGTGTAAAAATAATAAATAAATTTGATTTTTCCAGTAAGTTTTCATTTCAAGTTGCAAATTTTGGAGTTCTCAAGCGGAATGAAAAATTTGGCGCTTCGATATAAATTGCCAGCGGGCACCTGCTATCACTATTTTTATCACCATTTGCTACTGTTGGCGTGTATGGGACAGTGATTGGAGGCGTCGTGCAACACAGACGTGGGATCGATCCTCGCTTCCGTCGCTCACTAAGCATTCCATTCTGCATTCTTTATTTAGCATTCTTTCACCTCCAAACGATACTTGATGAAGTCCAGTGCATGACGCATCCGTCAGGGATTCATAGACGGCAAGAGCTTTATCCTTTATCTCCTTATTTATTACTGTTATAAATCGAGAAAACTCCTGTTTCAATCATTCACTTTGCTCATGAAGCGACACGAATTCATATTTTAAACTGATTGTGGCTATTTATCATATCATTTCTAAATGATCTCTGTATTAACACACTTAAGGGCTTTTGAATTACAACTGAAGAACATTGGAGAAGAAATTGTAGCCTCACGTGAAGATGAAAAACACTTCAGGGAGTCACATGAACTTTTTTGGAAGTTTTCTTTTCAAACGTTTTTTTTCTTCGATCTCATTTCTTTTGTATCCATGATGACAATATTAAATATGAATAATAAATAACAGTGGCAGTAATAAGAAATGAAATTCATTATTATTATTGTTTCATGTTTCGTAACAAGTAATAAAAGAATATCGAGTATGAAGAGAGTAGGCAAGAAGATCCCAACTTTATCGTTATTACTATCATTCATTATTTTTAGTGAACCACATGCAACTATAATCAGCTGTTCTAAACCTCCTCATTGGAAGTCACGTAAAAAGCGGCTCTGAAGAAGGCGATACTGCTGAAACGTCAGCTACTGTTGTATTGTACTATGTTTCTCTATGGAAGTAAATGTATGCTGTTTAAAAACCTCGCGATTGCTGAACAAGAAAACGACGCATTACTATCATTGTTATTTCCCACTTCGTTTCACTCCTGGTTTCATTTTGCTCGCTACAGTATCCGTAGACCAAGGGCTAAGGACAGTCGTGGAGCTAAGTTAAAGTTTAAAACCCTAATGATGATGATCTCGCTGTTAGTATCGTTTCGCAATAAAATTACAAAACCAAATTATAATAGGCTAATAACATCATTGAGTATATCAACAAAAAAAGGTTCATTTTATCAAATCAGCGTTTCAAAGTAAATGAGTGGATAACAATGAGAAAAAAAACTGCAAATGGTGCGACGTGGCGCAACTGATAGGTGAAAAGCGAGAAACTCTGCGATAAGATTTTCCCCACTCTTTGCACTTCCACGAGGTCATAGATTGCACTTAAATCGAAATTCGTAGGTAGACATTCAACGAAATCGATACCTTGGTCTATTCTTCAAGAATTATCTAATTCATAACAATTTACTTCGGCATTGATCAATCGCTTTGTGATGCGCCACGCATCCATTTCAATTC